ATTAGTTTGTTTATTAGATATATCACACAGTGAAACAGTATCATTTACTGGATGACGTTTCGAACAAAATTTATTGTTCATAATCATTTCATCAACTATCATCACACGACTTTGACACTTGAGTTTTATAGCATTCTTTGTTTTCTCCTATTTGTCGTAGAGGTAGTAGAATTTTCCATATATCTGGAACAAGTGGTGAATCATTCCCATTACATGTATTTGTAGTTAATTCGATAAACAAAGCTTCTGTTATCAATCTCTCCCTCCACCCTGTGACATTAGATTTTAAAACTGTCATCCTAGCCCATCCTATTGTATAGTTGTGTGTGACTGCATGTAGTGCTATAGCCGAACTATTCTCTAGATTTCTTATCTTACTCTGGTCAACCAATCTAGATTTTGCTAAGTTTTAATGTTCTGCTAGTCTGACTGCCCCTGTTATACTACTTTGATTTATGTATTTGACCTGACAATCATTCCAGCAGGGTATTAGATAAACTAAATTGTTTTGTTTTAAAAGCTCTACAGGATCCTTTAACCGACAAAGCTTGTTTCTAATTGAGTTTGTGGGTTTGAATGCCGTTTTTATTCCTGCCTTGTTGAGAATTCTGCATAAGGCTTCCGAGGTTCCTTCCTTTTATGGAATTACTTCTGATGATTTAGATTCCTTATTATTGGTGTCGTCATTAATATTATTATTATCACTATCGCTACTATCATTATTTATTTTATTTTTACATTTCCTTACATATTTCCTGACTAATTTATCTGGGTAATTATTAAGTTTCAACGCTTCTTTTATATGTATCAGTTCTTGCTTTAGATTTTCTTTGTTACTACTTAATTTATGTGCTCTGTCATTTAAACATTTCACTAATCCTATTTTTACTGACATAGGATGGGATGATTGGAAGTCCAAATATCTGTTTGAGTTTGTGGGTTTCCTGTAAACACTAGTGTTTACCTTCCTATCTTCTTTCCTCTTTACGTTGCAATCTAACATTGGGAGCTCCCCTTCCTGATTTTCCAATTCACAAGTGAATTGAATTGCTTGAACCTTCGAGTTGATGTGTTCGATAAAGCTATCTATATCTTGTGTTTTAAGTACAGTGAATGTGTCATCTACGTACCTTCAGCCTCACCCCAAAAGTATGGTGGACAAAATTATATAAATGAGAACTTTCGTAAGAAGTTATGTCGCAAAATGTCAGCCTTATCACGCAGATACAAGTAGCTTAATCTCTGTAAAAACACAGACAAGCAATATACGAAATTCAAAGTACTTTGAATGAACACTAGGTAGTTACTAATGTCATCATTCAAGTTCTTCACTTGGTTTAGGCTAAATTTTATCACTCAGGTTAGCAACGTGACAAACATGCTAGGTGGTTTGCCATTAAATTGCTCTTTGGACTGTTGCCAGATGACTGGAAGATATCACCTTTGAACTATGTTTCGGCACTCATCAGCATAGCGTATCTGGAATCTTCGAGGGACCCATGTCTGTTCCGGGATTCGGACCATGGTCATCCAGTACTGAGGTCAGTTTCCAATACACACTTGAGACGTGTAATATCTGCGTGTTCGAATATATGAAAGGAAGACGAAATAAGGTCTCACATCTAACTAATGATGGAATGTAAGTTATTACATTAGCGGCGGGATAGTTTTACTTCTGAACTTTCCACTTCAAAATCACTCACTGTGTTATTCTACAGGTGTTGAAGTGAATCGCCGACCATTATGAGATTGACAGTGGATAGAATACGTTAGTAAATATTATGGTATTGTCACGGATAAGTTGCAATATCACATTAACAGCTTCAGTTATCAGAAGACTAGTTTCTCCACGATAGAAAATTAGGATTTAGGAAATATATTTGAAAAAACATAACGGCTGTTACGCTGTAAAGGACTTTTATTGCGGATCTAACCATTGGAGAGATGTTTACCTTGCTAAGATTATGATTTCAACTAAACTAACTGAGGTTAAGTGCACAGGTTTCTGTTAAAACGAAAACAAATGTGTGTTGTTTAGAAATGAAAATTACTTTTCCATGTTTTAATTCATATATTGACGCGGTATTTACCAAGTTGAGTATGGCACTTATTTTCTAATGTAGAAGCAATGTCTACGAGGTATCTTAAAATATTACTTCAACGAATGATGGAATGTGACTAGCTGGTTAACACTGCCTGTTACAAATCAATTCATGAATAATCCTCATCCAAAAGTTAATGAAAACAAAGTATCTAGTTATGTGCACAATCGCGTATACATATAATTTTTTCATGAAAGAGTTGGTAAAAAAGTGATAAACTTTTAATATTCATAGTAGTTAATATTAGTCAGTGCATAAAAAGAATTTCAAAAGTTCAGAGAAACGAAACGCTTCTTGTTCCGAAAAAGAAACTGTACACGAACCTGGATTTCAGGGAAAATTTAGCCTCAATTCAGTAGAAATCAACACGGTTGTTGCCGTGATTGTAGAGGTGATTGAATGATTCTTTTTCGTGTCCATAACTCTGGTGGACCAAATGAAATCTAATAGGTATCCTCCGAAAACTGAAAAATGAATCATCAATCAACACCAAAATGTTTGAATCCATGTGACCATCTGGCTCAAATATACCCCAACTGTATGGACTGTCGAAAGTTCACAAGAAAGGCACACACAGTTCTTCGATCCACTCTCGACATGACAAATTCACCTAATCATCTCAATCCGCAATGGTTAGTAGATCTATTTGAAGCAGCAAGAAAGCACGTATCCTACCACTCACTCCGAGATTCCATTGAAAACGTCATGATTTCCAATCAAATCATGCTTTTAGAAAAAACCAACCTCTCGCTTGGTTTACGAGTAGGACTTTTACATACAGCAGAGGCAGTCTGAATTCCCCCGAGCAATTCATCTGAACTTAAACAAGTTAGCATCACAGAAGGATCACAGATGGATCTCTAAAGCTTAATGGTATGGTCACACCAAGATCATATGGCCTATCGAAAGTTTGGTTTGCCACTTCGACCTGTACTGGACATGTGCAGTTCCCCCATATCATCTAACAGCGAAATTGTTGGTGAGGCTCCTGATACCTCTGCATAACGAGTTGGTGAAACATAATGTGAAAGATAGTTTTGAATTTGTCGAGAAAATAAAAGATCTTAATGTTAATGAAAAGTTTATGATATCTTTTGATGTGTCCTCCTTGTTCACAAATGTACCGTTGATGGAGACAGGGGATTTTATATGTGATGAGATTACTAAACGAAAGATAGACATCGCCATTTCTGTATCCTCCTTGAAGGAACTTATTTTAAGATGTGCAATGAATGTTCACTTCTTATTCCACAAAGAATACCACAGACAAACTGATGGTGTGGCTGTGGGTTCCCCAGTAGTTTCATTCCTAATTTACTCTTCCCTCGCTAGGTTGGAAAATGAACCACTGAAATGAGTAGTTGAGGAGTTGGAATTCTACTGTCTTTGTATGGATGATACATTTCTGGTTACGAAAAACGAGAATGATGCAATGAACATCCTTGACAAGTTTAATGATGCCGATTCAGCAATAAACTTCACCATAGAGAATGAGAGTAATGGCAGTATCTAATTCCTAGACATCTTCCTGGCACACTAAGAAGGAATGTTTCAGTCACTGTCTGTGTCAATGCCATTTGGTGCATATGTAGTCCTGATACTGTGGAGGAAGAGTTAAATCTTTTAAGAAAAATCCTAATAGAAAATGGATTTCCGCCACGTTTTATTGACAAGAATATAGAATTAAAACCTATGAAATGTGACTAATCACATGAGCTTGGAGTTCAAAGGTGACTGAGCAGCCGGTATGATTGAGAGAAGGATCTCACAGTCCTTAAAAAAATCATTCCATACTGCATCGTTGAGAACAGTGTTTTCAATTCTATCATTACTCTTCAACAACCTGAAGGACAAGATCCTGCAGTTGAGAAACTCGATGTGTGTATATCAATTCACCTGCTTGTGTGAAGCTAGTTATATCGGTCGTTCGAACTGAGTCTTGTCCAAGAGGGTGCAAGAACACTATCCTGCATGGTTAAGAAGAGGTTGAAATGGAGCAATAGGAAGCGTGATCATTAAACATCTGGTCGACAATGATCATCCTATCTTCACAGCCTCCACCTTTTAGGCCAACTACAAGGCGAAAAGTAATTTGCTCATCTGTGTTGCTCGAGCTTTGGATATCGATGCAGAAAAGCCAGATCTCTGTATACAGAAAAAGTTCGTTCAACCTCTCCAAATTTCATAGTCTTAATCTCTCTATGCCAAAGTACAATAATCCCTAACCATATTTTGGCTCTACTTATTTTTTCGTCTTGTGTATTCACTTTGTATGCTCTTCCTTTATTGCATAAATTGTTACTATTATTATTCTCATTTTCAACTGTTCCCGGTATTATTTCACTCGTTCCACTTGTCAATCTAAATCAGTTTTGTTTTGCAATGTCAAATTCTATTATCAAATTTCACATCCTTTCCAATTCCTAAAAATCCTATGAATTGTCTAATCACATTGATTTATGATTGTAATCACAAACATTTTAATTGCATTTCATACAACTATTATTATTTCATGTATTCACATCGATCATTCAATTTCCTCATCGGATATTTATTTATTAAAAAAAACCCACATATATACGACTGTACAGCTTGATAATAAATTTGTTGAAAAGAGTCCCTTCGCTGAATCACTTGTTTTGCTTTTCTATTTCCTTTAATCCCGATTGATGTTTCTTTAGGTTCTGACCTGGCTAACAGTTGTCTCTCTGGAAAGAATAGAAATTAGTTTATTCAATCTAAAGGGAAATTACTTTAATTTTCCGATATCTAGAAAGACGATTAATTTCTGATGTAAAATCGCTACAGATACATTTAACTGGAATCCTCTATGCTATCCTTATCCTTCTTAGATTAGACCAAATTACTAATAAGTTTTAGAAATTATTCATAGAGACTTTATGCATCAGATTTATTTAAGCATCTTGAACAAAGCAAAATAAATACAATAATATTCATATAGTCGTGATCACCGCATCCATAGAGCATCTCCAGTCGCCTAAATATATATGTGAAAGAGGAAAAACAGTCAGAACTTTATTAGTGATGAGGAAAATAATTACGATGAAAATTTTTCATTAGTTGATTCAATTCAATATTTGGAATCTAAAAACAAAGATGACATTTCTGTAACCAGTATATGTGAATAACATAAATTAATAAGATGGATCTCCGATTATATGAGAACTGATGTGCCATTCTCTCTTTGTTTATTATTATTTTCACCAACTAAAAATATCCTGCATTATAGTGTTGAAAGGATATTCGACTTCAAGAATTGGATTTACGCTAGCGAAATTCCAAGCCTTTACTGTCAGCTTTCAATTATGCTTATACAGTGCTATTCCACGTGACTAATCTCACTGACATTGTTAGACAGTTTTGAACTAGATACCATCTCTATTATATATAATAAAGATTTGTTCCTCAATTAGATGATTTTGATGTAGTTACATTCTCTGAACTAGGTGGTTTGGTTGCGAAGCTTTCATTGCCTTACTAGGCAAAATCCTCAGCGCATACTTCAATTTCTGCACAAGTTTGTTAGACATCCCTCCTGGTAACCTTGGACGTTATTGGTTGTTTTTGTGTGTTTTCTCTCCCTCTGATCTACTTTTATTGGTATTAGTTGTTTTCCTGACCTAAAGTTCAACCTTTTGTTCATATATTTTTCTTCTTATGGCCTGGTGAATCTTATCTATGTCAGTGTGTCTACTGATTGCCGTTTCACTTGAAAACCAGGCTTCTAGAAATTCTCTGGCCTTTTCAGTGTTTCCTCTGGCTACGATTTGAACATTATCCCAGTCTAATTGGTGTCCGTGGTTGTCTGCATGCATTGATATGAAGGAGTGTAAATCGTGTCTTTTGACGGCTAGTTTATGTTCATGGCTGTAAAGACGAAGAGGTTGTCTATTTTGACCAATGAGATTTATCTTGTAGATGATATTGGTTTCGTCTGCTTTCGCGCATATATGTGCATACAGATATAATAAGTGAAGATACATTAAGGACAACAAGTCTTGGACATGAAATCCAAGGTACTAAAGATTTATCTCATATAACAAACTGATTTCAAAACATTTTTCGAATTCACTCGGGCATGTAGGTGAATGAAAATCAAATCTGTTCGATAGAATGCTAGAAGATTGCATGTCTCATGGACTGCACCATCAACACTATTTTAAAATTTATATTTTTCCTATTCAAGTGTTGGTTTGTAGGGATTTCATTCGTTACAGGATTTTCATCATGAGCTGACATTATTTAGAGAACCAGTGGAATACCTGGGAGTACTGGACAGGTGTTTCGTCTTGTTTAGGACTCTTCATCAGTACGCACCCACCGGGATTCGAACACAGGACCTTCTGGTTACAAGGCTAGCTAGCTCGTTTACCATTAAGCCACTGGGACCCGATCCAATGGTCGATGAATTCTAACTTCTGCCAATTCACGACATTGCGTGACCCTCAGCCAATGTCTTCGGCGAGTATTTGTCCTATTCTCCAGTTTATAAAATTGTTTGTTTCATTTGAACGCCACTCAACTAACTTCCAGTTCGCCATTTTATAAAGACTGATTTTCTCTGGTTACGCAACCTGTCGTGTTGATGCCCTCTTTCTTGTTAAACCTTATTTCTATCCGAAGAGATTTGAAGTCTCTGTTTTCTCAACAACATCAGTTCAGTTATCATATGAGTAGTCTATTCGTTTAACTCCTAATAATTTAACAACTAACATCATTGTGGACCTGTATTACTTTTAGATCATATCAACTACTCTTTGTCATCGTGTGTGTTGAAATTTTTTATGTGAATTATATTTGTGTGTTGTTGTTGGTGTTGTATAGCCAGCTGATGATAAACTGTGAAATGATGAAGCGTGAGTTTAAGTTGCATTGATGCAATTTTCGTTCTTACTTTGTCCGAGTTTACCGCTGGAACTATTTTTATGAAGTTTTTTGAAAATGCTACTCACCAAATATACTAAGCCGTCTGGTGTAAAATCTGTAGCACACGCAGTTCAACATATGACAGTCTGTGTTTGTGTGGGAAATTCTTGCGTTATCATTTAAAAAGGATGTCTTTTCGTCCCATGTATCGATAAATATAAGTTCGTGTTTTATTCGTGGTCTAATATAGATTCTAATAGTTATGCTTTGAATAGTCTTTTCTTTTTGAAATTATGTAAATATAGTGAAATTTTCACTGTTTGTTTTCAGTGATTGAAGTTACTATATTAATTATGAATTATCGAGACTCCTCATTTGAGGAATGAGGACACATTAAGGCTGAGTAGTCATAAATCTATAAGGCATTCCTTATGGATAAGATTTTATTTCGACAAATCACACAGTGCTATTGCAATAGTTTATGCTTGAGACGTCATCAGTTAATATTACTGTATAACATTGTGTGATTTATTAAAATAAAATCTAATCTATAATCGAGTTATACTCTAACACAGTGTGCAAGTTTTATACTTATTCCTTACTCTAGTTTGGTTGACGTCTCTACGAATATACATGCCGTATAATCAGATACAAATTACTCCTGATTTTCATCACTGTTGTCACACTTAATTCATTTGATAAGAGGTTCAGAACTTCAGTAATTCAAGTGTAATACGTCAGAAATGGTCTTGCACATTTGAAGTTATATTTTGGAATAAAAGAGTGTTCATTATTTGTCTAACCAATTAACTACCCATACTTTCCAGTTGGATGTCATGAAAAAGCTTAATCAATTAGGAGCGACTGATATATTTTTCGTCCAACTTCTTGGCCCTCACTCACAACCCTATAAAGGTATCTAACCTATGACTATAGTTCACTAGTCAGTGCAGTTAACCATCTAGTCACTGGTTAGAAATTTAATCATCATTGAATTCTAACTACTTTCAGTTCAGGCGATATAGAGCTACCATCATCCGATGCCGTCAGTGAATAACCAACCTAACATCTTACACAGTGGGTCCTACTGATAACGGCTTAGTAACTGAACTTCCACAAGTTCATCCTATATTCATTCACTGAAAAACAATGCTGAGTGTTTAATAGCCTCGCCGCATACCTAAAAGTCCCCGATATATCCCTGGTTTTCTGTCTCAGCAGATGAAGATTCCAAAACTTCGGTGGAGTATTTATCCACTTCTCCTTGGTTTTCAGTTGTTCTACAAATAATGTCAGTTTGTAATGAAATCTACCCAGAAATCAGTGGAATTTCTACAACGCAAAACTCTCATTTTCATATTTCCAGGAGTAATACTTTAAGCATACAGGCAAAATAAATAAGAAAGGACACTACTATGGGAACCAATAAGTAATTTGAAAATAATCTTTGTTAAACCTAAACGCACCTTCGATTCAGTAGTTTGCCGCAATTAGTCTAAAAGGAGAAGAAATTAATCAGCCAAGTTAAAATGTGTCAGAACAATGTAACAAATAAGAAAATGGAGCCATTTACCTAGAGTTCCTCATTAGGCTGGTAATCTCCTGCCTTTGACTTGTCTCATCACATAATAGGTGTGCTGAATAAGGTATTGTAGACTTTTGTACTTAGTCGTCCGAGCGTATAGTCTTCCATAGTTGCTTTTAGTTCCTCTTGATGCAATACAACGAGAGATTCGTGTATAGATAGGATGCTCAGAGTCTGACAAGATAATACTTGGTAATTTCTTGCCGGAGTCTATGTGTCTTTCTACAGTAGTATTAACGAGTTGGTTAAGCGACACTCTGCAGGCCATGCTGAGGGTTTTTAGTGCCCTTCGCAACATAACAGAGTCTTTCTTAAGTAGCCCGGGAAAGAATAAGGGGGAGCAGTAAAGAAGTATTGGCATAATACAAGAATTAACAAACGGTAACAGTAGAAACGGTATGATATCAGACTGTCTTAACTCCCCAATGTGTGACGTTAAATGGAATGTCCATTTGGAAACTAACATGATGTCGGAAGACCAGCAGAGATCAGAGGAAATGCACAGTTCAAGGTATTTAACATTCAGTTTAGTTTCAATCTCTGTGTCACCTATGATAGTGGAACCATGTGAACTGGCCAGTTCATGTAAATCGTGCTTCCATCTGAAATTAACATTAGCAACCCGACTTTTGAAGAGATTTAGCCTAAGACCATTTGATGAGAACCATTGACTAATTTTTAGTGAAACGTATTTCATTTTAGAACAGTCTGACTGACAAGTAACAGTCATAGAACCAGTCAGATCATCGGTGTATGTAACAAAATAGCCTTCAGTAGAATGAGGAAAGTCATTTAAGAAGAAAGAGAACAGAAAAGGAGAAAGGACAGCTCCTTGAGGAACACCAATTAGAGTAAGTGAAGCAGTAGAGGACTTCCCGTTGTAAACGGTGTGCTGTTTCCAATCATAAAAACAGACATGCAACCACTTATTATTCCAAAACTCTACACTTGTCGCATCGAGCTTGTTTAACAAAAGGCAGATGTGTAATTTAGGAAGGCACACCGAACATACCTTGCCCTTCTGTATAAACCGGAGAAAATATCATGATATGAGATGACAGTGGCACCTAAAGTACACCTACTGTGTTTATAAGCAAATTGATTATGATCTTTGAAAGCCTTCAATGAAAATGCAAGGTTAATGAAAGCAGTTCTTCCACTATTTAAAAAAAGGCTAAGTAATGCCAGCAGGTTTGAACTTAACACTTGGTCCACTTGATGATTTAGGTTCAGAAACAGTGTTAATGTCCTGTCAAGAAGCAGGCACAATGCTAGTGGAAAACGATTCCTTGAAAATACCATTGAGAGGATAACATTAGATGTCAGTACATTTCTTAACGATTATAGCTAGCCCACTATTTGGACCAATGGAATAAGTATATTTGAAGGATTTGAAACACTTCAGGACAACGTTTGTGTTAAAATCTATCCACCATAATATGGAACAAATAATCATGTAAATACTTACAGTGACAATTCTCAAATAAAAAGTAAGTTGAGATGAAAATGACAATTTAATAAAATTTCTGACCAAAATCTTAGGAAACTTTATTATTACTATATAACAGAATAATCTTATTTTGCTCAATGGGATCTATATTAAGGGATTTCACCAGTTTACCGTTTTTACTAACTTTACATTACATACAAAGGAACTTTATTTGATAGGTCTGTGTAGATTCTGTTTACTGAGTTCCCACATCGTCTGGCATGGTTATCAAAAGGACAATGTAGAGATAGTTACCAGCTTGATTCTCGAGCACCTGGTGAATTCAGGCCATGAAGCTCCAATAGAGTAGTGTTTTGGGATTATCTAAAAGGTGAGGTCTGATCATACAAGAGGTGCTAAGTTTTGGTATTCGTATATAGTGGAGGCAGTGGCGTTTCCTTAATATAACCAAGATTGTGTACAGACAAAGTTGGCTGAGTATCTCATTCTGTTGTGGTCTTGATCTTTTCCCTGATTGTTTGCCTTTATTTTTAGTAATTACTTCACTAGTGTCACTCTTACATGTTCCTTTTATACACATTTTCTCACCTTCATACACTTTAGGTGGACGCTCAACTATCTTACATCTCATTCATTGTTTAATCTAACCTTATTAAATTTGAAACAGGTCATTTTCTTTATTCATTCGGGCAGCAACGTTTCAACTAAAGATGAATGCACGGCTACCGTAGACTTTCATCAAAATCCGTCTTCACTGGCCGTATGCTAAATAATAAGTAGTCAGCCAGAAAGAATTAACGACAACAAAACCTGGGAGCGAACGAATCAAGAACCTACTGCCCAACAGATATTCCGAAGAAAAGTGGAGATGGATCGGACACGAGCTGAGTGACACTACACACCAAGCCATAGCTTTATTAGAACCCGAATAGTAAAATATGAGCTGGGTTCGATTTTGAGGCTGACATACAGAAGGTCGTCTGAGGAGGAGACGAAAGTTTCTAGGCAGTTTCGGGGTCATCTAGACAGAACTACAGAGAACGGGACAAAATGAAAATGTGCTGTTGAAGCTTTATGTTACACTGAGAATCCAAAAGAATAATAATAAGTTAACTTCTAACCAATGGTAGTTCGCATGCTTAATTCAAACAAAGTTGCAATCATCTATATCATAAACATTTGAAATCATCGAATAACTCACCACGATACACGTAACTAACATTGAGAAAAGACAAAGTTTAACAAATGCATGCTAAAGAAACTAACACATGACATCTGATACACAGTAAGAGTCATTAAAAAAAATAAAACTGTATATCTGCTTTATGGTGCATGATTATCGAACACTTCCACAAGCCAGCTGGTATATTCACCAGTTGTTTTTCGCTTCCACTTCAGGTATTCCTGAAGTCATATCAACCTTGATATGATTATTAGCAATAAATTGTGCTCGAAACGTCATCAGCAAACATTAGGGTATAACACTGTGAGACTTTATCAAAACAAATTTTACCCATAATAGTTGTGAGCTTGATGTCATGGGTAAGAAAGCAGTTACACAGATGAGAAATATGCGGATAACAGAAATAACAATAAATTGTGATATCAGGTATCACTATTCCTTGAGTTACATTTTCTTGTGTGAGACACCATAACACATTAGGGTATGGTGATTTTCTGAAATTAGTTATTTCAAGTTTCATCTCAGGCTGATATCAGTTAGAGACCCATTCAAAACGAGGGAGTACTGGACAGCTTTTTCGTCCTACTTTAAGACTCACAGGAAGTATGCACCCATCGACGTTCCATCCAATATGAAGTAAATTGAATCCGTACACACTAACTTTTGAAAATTATGCTGATGCTCGCTACTGCCTGGTTACATGAGGAAGTTGTCTGGAGCGTTAGTGAGAAGCCGTGACCACTGGGTCCCACTATACCTAGTCTGAGGACAAATGCTCGTCGATGACATTGTCCGGTGGTCGCGCTAAAATTAAGAATTGATAGAAGTTGGAATTCGTACTCAGGCCATTAGATCAGGTCCCGATAGCTGGTCGGTCTACTAGCTAATCTTGTGGATGGAAGGTCCTGGATTTAGACTTCAGTGGGTAGGCACTGTGGAAGAGTCTTAAACTAGAAGGAAGAACTGTTCAGCACTCTATGGCTTTTTATGGTTCCCTAATCGATATCAGTACACGATCGAACTTGAAATAAATCCGACCCCTTCAAACTAACCCCTGAATATTAGTTACTAAGAGATAGAAACTGATAACAGAATATGAAAAAATTATCTGCTGCATTCAGGATTCTAGCATTATCTGACTGCTATCAAACTAGAGTTTACTCTTCCTGTAACCATACTTTTGGCTTCTCATGACAGTTTATTTTACTGATATTTTAAAAACAAAATTTGTAGTTATGGAACAAGAGAATGAAGTACGAAGCCTACTGTTTAAATATGGCTGGTAAAATCTTTTCAATACAGGGAATAATCAGACAATCAGAATGATAAACTCCTTAATGTAGTAAATTCAAGATATATCAAACTTACTAAAATGCTTTTATGTAGATCCTGTGTAATATAAATGAACCATTGTTATTAAGGATGTTTTAACAGCTATCTAGCAAGCAGCGGCTTTTTCAGAAGCCTGTGCATAGATTTCACCCTATTCACCGCTTTCTATTGTAATGGCTTAGATGACGTTGAATATTTGTAAGGCGAAAACCGCAAGAATAACATATATGCATACAAGATGAACTTACTAATCCATAAAACTATATACTGTTGACTGATTGACTTCAGTAGTTGTATACCATTCACATCAACCAGGAGTGCTTGCTCGCCAGCTAGACCATAGTGATCTAAACACCAGACGGTTGTTCCACTCGTATGGAGTCAAGTTCACTGGTGGCGTATCTGATCTAGCTCAGCTCAGAGAGCTGAATCAGTTTAAAACCATCTGATTTATCGCTAGCAAGTGCTAATACTTGATGTAAGAGCTATACAACGACTCATCTCAGTCAGTCTGTGGTATATTGTTTTATACATTTATGCATGGGTCTCTTGATTACCATTTATGGTATCAAGCAGAGAACTTATCTGAATAATTTTCGTTTCCAATGATACTATGGTGAATCCTCTCCTCCTCAAACTGTGAAAACTGCAAATTTAATCTTTGGCTTTACAAATTATCTAGTTGGAAATAAAACTTGTCAGTGTGATTCAAAGCGACTAAGAGGCTTAAAAGTTTACCTAACCAGTATTTTATTGTGAATTTATTTCAAGTGAACTGAAAGCTGTACAGGTATGATCATGAAAAAGCGTCAAGTAGCCAGGACAATGTAAACTCTTCAGTATCGACTACTCAAGAATTATGTGATTTAATGCAATTACTTTTAAAATACAACAAATGTAGTAAAATGAATTTTCAATACATTTTATTCAGGTGTTCCAGATCCCATATAAATACCGACCAAATTCAAGACCTGTGTACACAGTGTCAGTTTCAGATGTTACTATCAGTGCGACTATTTGGATTCAATTCGTGATTTAGATAATCAGTTCATAAAAACATGAAAGCAAAACAACCTAATAATTGTGGGTAAAGACATCTCAGATTGTTTCGAATCAATTGACTGATAGCAGTGTATTGAATAATGCTTTAAAAGGTAGGATTTGCGTCACCAGATAACCCCGAAATTCTTGTTTGTTGTTACTTAGAAAATGAAGGATATTTAGAGCACATTGGTTGGAGTAAATTTAATATTGGTTTTCATTTTTTGAGTTATTGAACACTCTACCCTTGTAGAAGTAAGAGAAAGGACTGGAAAATAGTCTTCCAGTCGACTATTTAACATGACGCGATTAGTAATGTGAAGCTACGAATAACATCGGTCTCACGCAAAGCGTTTAAACACCCTGTGATTTATTGTTAAAAGCAGATCCAGGACATTCAGCGCCTTTCGAAAAGTCCTTCAAAGTAATATACAAGATTCAATCAAACCTATCAAAGGGAGTGAAATCAAGACATTTGGGCATAGCTGAGGCGTTAGCTATCCAAAAACTCAAACCCACTCTTTGTATCCAAAAGTAATATATCCAACCCCTGTCCCTGCCATGGCCATCATAAACAGGTAAAATTTTTTAATAATGACCATCCCATCGCCTTCCTTATCTAAACTTCCCGTTTATTCATGTTATTTTAAGTTTTCTTAATCCCTGTCTACACTACCATATTTTCATATCCACACTTCCTGTTTATTTAGTCATTTTACTATTTCTACATATTTAATCCCTGATTGCATAAACAATTATTCATCACACTAGTTTTTTATCCAAACATCCTGTATATTTTGTTATTTTTACATTTCTAACCCCCAATTGCACAATGTTAACCTTCTTAGTTATTATGCTACTTTGTTTGAGTTTTACCCATCCCCCTGTTTATTATGGCATTCTAATTCCTAATTGTAATTTTTATTAATTTAACCCCTAACCAGAAATTATTCTGGAACTTTCCCATCCATTTGATAGAAATACACGAATGTACAGCCCAGATGATGACTTCGTTGAAAAGAAAATTTTCTTCGCTGCAACTGTCTTTTTATTCCCTAAGATCCAGATTTATTTATCCAGTGCCACTCAAAAAGAATAACGAAGGTTAAATATGTTCTAATTAATAGGATCCTGTTTAAGTCGTTAATATTTTTATTTTTGCAGCTTTAACCTTCATTATTTGATGTCATGTCCGTTAAATTTTACTTAATTTCCTTTCCTTTTTAAAAGATACGATACAATCTAACAGCTATAAATGATACATGCCTGTTAGAATTTAAGTATCTTCAGCGTACATTTAACATTTATTGTTTCTTCCAAAGTACCATCCAGTAAAATACTTTGGAAGAAGTTCAACAACAGCATCCCTGGAGTGCGAACGCTCCAATGAACTTGAACGCATGCTAGTCGTTGGCTAACGGCACCTTTCATTATCACAGCTGAAATATCAACTCTATTCACAGCCCAGATCACGTTTTTAAGCACTGTTTGGACAGTGTGTTAAAAGCTCGTTAGGGTTATGGTAAGTATTGGAGTAAGCGTTATGATCAAGGTCGTAATTTGCGTTAGAGTTAGGTTTACGGTTAGGATAAGGGTTGTAATTAGGGTTACAATTATGGATAGATTTAGAGTTGATGACATTTATTTATATTTGTTTTCTAATCCACATTTTCCTGGTAAGTAGTCGTCCATCCTCTTACTGGAAACCATAGTAACTCAACGGAGGCTTTCGGAGAAGACTGCATAGCAGAAAAGAGAGATAAAAGATTCACAGAAACAGCTTATCTTTAGTCACCTCGATGAATACATGTACAGAAACTAGTCTGACATAGCAACTGATACTCTTGATTATAGGCTGCGATGTATTTTTAATCATGTCAGAGAAAGATAACCTGTTCAGTGTGTTTTCATGCATTTTTTGTAAATATACGTCATTTTTTGTGCGAAGATTCCTCAGGTTTAAGATTGGTGGTCGGCGAATATCACTCATGCATTCGCAACACTTGGACGCCATTGTTGAGCTTTTTCCATAGTTTGAATATTGTTAACTATCTCACACTATCTTCATTATTTAAAATGTTTTTTCAGTCTTAATATTCATAAGGTATATAATAACTATAAATCTTTATTCGAGACAACATACTAATATATGGTACAGAAAGTTTCAGTGTATTTAGTCCCAGAACACTTTTTTCTTCATAAAGGATTTACATGTAAAATAATAATATGAAGTATATCTTCATTTGTTGACGAATTGCGCAGCGTTTACTTAGAAGCAGGTTATATCAGCGCACAAGTTCATGTATAGTCACCTGATATAACTGGATGATAAAACAATGATAAATCCAGATGAAATTCAACATTTCGGTAGCCCAGGGATTTACGTGAAGTAAAACATTTACAAAGTATGCTCCTGAATTAAATTTAGTTGTGATGATACAATATGGTATGTACAACTGCATCGTGTACATCAAATGTTCGCTAAACAAATTAAATGTCCTGAGCACTACACTTCTATTCACTTTGGCACCAAATGGTACAAGTCTTTGCACTAAAGTGTATCATATAATTCTTACAATTATACCATTCTTGTAATTACTAGAATTCATGTAAATGCAAATACTTACTGTTGTACGTAAAATATTGGGCTAAAACATGAATTTTCAAAATTAAACAAAAGTTTAAAAAATAAATGAGTTGCGCGATAAATGTTTGAAATCCAAAATGTGAGACAATTTGGACAGTTTCACAGTATAAGTATAAACTGATTTGGTTGCTTTCTATGGAACCGGTAGTTCGACTGCAAAGCTTGCAGTATCCTTCTACAAGTCTTCAAATCGAACTTCAGCATGAAAAGGACTTATTGGAATTCTCCTTTAATTATATATTGTATCTCTTAACAAACCCTGTCATCATTGGTTTTCAAATTTACATCAGTATTCATCGTTTTTATTGGCTGGGATTTTACTCTTGTGCCATGTGGCTTATTTTTTATTGGTTGGTAAATTTGATGTATAAAAATGTATCTATGTTAATCACAAATCCATCTGAGTGCAGGTTTCCAGAAATCCTGTGGCATATTTTATGTTTCCAATGCCTAAAATTTCTGCATTTTCCCAATCTAAATGGTGTCAACAGCACAATTTGCGAGAAAACATGCTGACCTTTTCACGACGGCTTACATTCCTGACTGGGATACAACCTAGCAAACGTGTTTATCACAATTTATGCTATTTATTTCGTATATGGCAATGATCTTGTCTTATTCTGTTTTGGGTCTTTTGTTTGCTGGTAGTTAGGTTTGAGTTCGGAAACTTTTTGATGTAACCGTATAGAAATAATCCACTTGAGCTGAATTCTCATCTATATATGTATATATATGTATATATATATGTAAAGTACTTTAGCACCTGGAATGCCCTCAATATTTACTGGCCTCAGTCAAGAACTACATGACAGTGCCACATGTCAAGTGATCCACAACGGAAAATTAGAACGGAAGACATGAGTAAGGTAAGGAAGACTGCCTACTATCACCAGTGATATTCCTAATTTCGGTAGACTAGATTTCACAACAAATCCTACGTGGGAAACGAGGAGGCAGGAATACGTTGGACTGATAGGAAGACTCAAGAATATTTGGACTTCGTGAACGATTCATATCTAGTGTCAATAAATTTAAAACCTGAAGGAAAACCAATAAGTTGTCAGAAGAGGCAGGTAGCGAAGACAGGTCTTCAGGCGAACAAAGAGGAGATAGAGGGGATAAAAATAAGCAACCAACAACAACACAGATGATGGTGTCAAGATCGACCAGAATTGGAAAGTCAAGGCACACTTTCATCATCCAGAAATCATTCTGGAAATCTTCTGCACTTAGTGTCAAGAATTTATTTCAGATTTTCAATAAAGGTGTTAAGTCACTTCTTCTTTATGTGTCAGAAACTTGCTTGACGTGAAAAGCATTGACAGCAGGCTACTGCGGATATTTATCAACATCTACCTCTCTGGCTCCATACTGAGGTCGGAGAGCCAGCCAGAAAGATTTAGCATTAAAAAATTCTGCAAGCAAACCAACCAAGAACCTACTTCTGAAGACATATTCCGAAGAAAATGATCAAATGCAAATTGAGTAGACACTTGAGTAGCATAGCGCGCCTGGCCATTGCTTCAGTGGAACCTGAATGGGAAACAACGAGTTAGACGTGTGTCTGAGGTGATGTGGAGATGATGCCTACGAGCTACCATTCGGCTACCTAAAGAAGACTTTAGAGAATAGGATGAAATGGAGATGTGGTGCTGAAGCCCACTGGGAACCAAAGGATATATATATATATTTAGGGATATAGAAATGAAGCTGATTTGTCTTAGAAGAAAATCTACTAACTCAAAGTGATACAATGACTAACCTGATTATCCAGAGAGGAAGGCTGTAAAAGTAACAGTTAAACCCTATAATTAGTATATAATCTGATATTATCGATAAATGGATGAATTACATGGTGAATTAAGACAGTTGACTGAATATTTAAGTATTTATGTTGAATTATAATAAAACAATATACAACGAGAGTAAGCAATAGATACCAAAGCCAAATGACCTTGAATCAACCAGTCAGGTAGCTCAGCATTACAAATGGTCGCTGTTCACATAATTTGCGTTGCAGTTTTCGCCCTGATTTGGTTTTCGACTTCTGTGTGGGAAATGGGTTGGTAGGGAGGACTAAAACATGCATGTGTGGATGGGAAATGACTCTGCAAAAGTATTTCCGAACTAATGATCGTTATGCATTCAGAAGTAACCACTGTTAAATGAGTAGGAATTTAAGAGTTGATAAGTCGCACATTGTTGTGATTTTTCAGAGAATTTCTTCTCGAAATTGAAACCTTCCCTTAGTAAAATACTGCGTGTGTGCCACAAATGGCCACTGAAATGACTAGTATCTTCTATAGCTGCAGAAACGAAGAATACTAAAATGTCAACAAAGCAGTGGTTTAAGCACAGTCAGGAAATTGCGTTACAAAAGATCACTGGAGTTACTTTTGTACTTGGAGCAGTTGGTGTCATCACTCATATTGACGAAACATCACTGATTAAACGAAAAATGAATAGCGGTGGGAGAAGAGTAAATCGTGTGTGGGTTTGGTAACTGTACAACACAAATCTTCGAAAAGGGTTTGTTAAACGCATCCCAAACAGAAGTGCCGATGGCTTAATACCAAACATACAACAACTAGTCCTCGCAGGCATAAAAATTCACCCAGATGAATGAAGAGGTTATTAGCAACTATCACCACTAGGCTTTGTTCAGCATAAAGTCAATCATTCTTCTGAATTAGTGGAACCTATACAAATTCCATTGAAGGATTCCGGGCCCATCTGGAAAGGCGCATTAGAATGGTAACTGGTTCCCGAAATGATATGATATATAGCCACTTACATAAAACTTTGTATCGGCATTGGTTTGATATTGTCTACAACCACTCCAATAAGAAACTGGGACCAATATTTGCATCATATTAGAGATATAAAACCTGTATAATTCATTTTTATTACATATGTATCTTATTAACACTGGTTTTTTATAAATTAAACGCCACTTGTCACCTGGAGGTGTCTGATTGATTGTTTCAAGGTCATTTCACTCTGGTGTCTATTCTTTACTGTCGGCACATATACTTACATTGGTTCATCTATCTGGAATCTGAAATGTAAATGGAAAAAAATAGTTAATGATGCGAATTCCACCGTTTTAACATTGAAATTGAGTAATGGTGATAATAGCCACATTCTGGACAACATTTTCCTGCAAAGTACTAACTTCTCAGACAACAATATATATTGTGCATTATGTACTTTTCGAACCGAATCATCATCAGGCAGGATAATAACTGACAGACCATTGTGTGAAATAATCCTGTTCAGACAACTGTACTGATTGTTGAATTTAAAATTAATACAATTTTTACAATATCACAAAGTAGTCTCAGGCGATATTTACGTAATATACAACAAATGCACCTAAAATTCAATTTTACAAATGCATAACAAGCCAATTTGAAGGTGGATATTAAACTGATTACCAAAATGCAGATAATTTTATAGCTTACATCTTGTAGAACCATTCACTGAATTAAATATAAAAAGTAGACTAGTTTAATATTCAGTTTACTTTCAAGCATCGACGTGACATACATGAACTAGTTAGTTCCCATGATGCCTGTAGCATAGATGGCACGGAAATTGAAACCAAGTCAAGCATTAAATACCTTGGATTAGTTCTTTCCTCTGATCTTTCATGGTCATCCCACATCTTATTAATCTCTAAGAAAATGTTTCGTCTTACCTTCTACATTAAAAAGGTTGAGACAATCAGGTATCAACCAACCTTTACTTCTGCAGTTTTTAAACACCTGTATTTTACCTATTGTACTCTATTGTTCTCTATTAATCTTTCCTGGGCTTCTTAAATTAGACTATGCCATACAACGAAGGGTATTAAATGCTGTGAGTAGGGGTTGTGGTATGTCACTGTGTGAGCTCGCCAATACTACAGTCGACAGACACGTCAATTCCTGTACAAAGTGGGCAAAGGCCGTACTGTCAGACCCTCTGCACCCTCTTTATTCACCAATAACCCCTTGTATCTCATCAGGTAGGACGAGGAGTCAATATAAGAAGTTATATGCTCGCACCACTAAGTACAAAATTTCTACAATACCGTATTTAGCCCGTATTTTATGTGATGAAGACTCTGTTAGACGTGAAATATATAAGTTACTATGTAATTAGCATAGTGAATCGACCCTTTCATTGTTCATCTTTCTGTAATTTTATGGTGTCACCCTTTCTATCGTTTAAGTATAACTTTGCTATTTTTATTTTAGTTATTATTATTACTATTATTACTATAATTTTATACTTTATGCGGATTCTTCTCCGTACTGCTTACAGTAATTTGCTAAATAGCTGCTATAAAAACGTTTTGTTATCATTATTATGTAATGATTATTTCTTTTATTTATTTATTTTTTTGTTGTCATTTTTGAGTAAATTAGATGCACTATTGTACTGAATGCTGAAAATTCCTTGCTGTATCATTAGTACTGTTTTTGGAATAAAGCAAATTATTATCATTATTATTTTCATAAAAATGAATAAATGTATTATTCGAATAAAAATAAGTAAGAAATGGCAACGAATATTTGAGTTTCAGGTTGTAGTGGTTTCTGATGTCGAAATGATCTATGTGTGTGTATCAGTTTTCATTGATGGATAGCCTTCAACGCGTTTCTAGTCTTCATCATCAGAGTTAGTTTTTAACAGGTGGAGAAATTCGTTGACTCACTAGTATTCTCATATATACACTTCTAGTGACTCAACTGTCTTTTAGTTGATTCTGTTTGTTGAGTTTCGAACACTGATAGCAAGTGTCTTTTGGATGCATGATGCGCTAAACTGTAGTAGAGAGCGTAATTTTTTTCCCGAGTATTCAGGTATCTAGTGTATCTGACCACAGCTTACTATGAAATAATTTATAATACCTTATTAATAATAATAACAAAAAAGCTTCATTCTCAACAGTGTTTGTACATAATTTTTAACGGAGTTTATTGTCCGATATTTTCTCTTCGTATAGCATCATCAGATAATATATATTAACTGACAATAGATCCTGTGACATAGTGCTATCTGACCTGAAGTGCAAACCAATCCATTATGATAACTCTTCCTTGTCTCCTTAGATAAATGCGCGATATTTAGTTGAAAAAGAAAGTCGATAAAGGTCAAGGAGTACATTTTGAGAACCAATGGCATAACTCAGCAACAGTTGTTTCATGTACCGGGATATACTGCCACTCCAACGACTATGCCTTTTCTCACGTTAATCAAAGACCAGCAAATCATCAGGTTTTAAACACTTGAAATACTCCTCAGGGTAAATAACACCATTAGTGGTCATGCTTCAATCAATTAGAACTAAGTGAACAGGAAAAATAAAATGCAATATAACGGTGGAGGCTTCCGGTAGCCCAGGTTTTAAGCAGGCCGCTGTGAACAAACAGAAGATGATTTCTAGTGTCGTAACACTCAGATTATTGTTCACATCTGGTTGGTAATTTTCAGTCTGGATTTAAGTGTAGACAGCATCTTTTGTTATTGTAATCTGGTAATCATTTCATCTGCTCAATACAATTTATAAAGGGAATCATCTGTATTGATTCACATAATGTACATATCAGTTTCGTGAGACTCAGGAAAAGAGAGATACAGCGTTCTAGAAGTTTCTGAACTTGTGGCACCAGGGGTGAAAACTTCACAAGAAACAAAACAGACTGGATTTAAAGTTTACAGAAGAAAAGACTGAACGACATTCAACTGTAAAAGCACAGTAGGGACTTATAAGTATTATTTCAAATCGAATTAGTGAACAATAAGACGAGTCAAAGTAACTCTCTTTACAATCAGTTTAAGCAAATAACATCCCTATTAAGTCCCTTGGTCAATATGATTGAACAAATCTTTAAACGTTGTATTTTAACAAATTATCTCTAACTCACGGGAAATAACTTTCATTTCTACTTGTTTAGAAGAGATAATGTTTACTGGTTAGTAAATCTATTCCTCAATATAAAGCACAAATGTAAAATTAGTTGGGAAATATCTCGTAACAGTATGAAGTCTTCTGTACAGATAAAGGCATATATATTCACTAATGCACAATGGGAGTTCATGCATGTTTTCCAGAAGAAGTCACAATCTTTGAGTTAGAGAATCTTTCACACATAGCTAGTGAGCAACATGTTATTATATTTACAGCACTATAAGATAATGTTGTCTCTGTCGGTTTGCCAGAAGATTTGATATGTACCACTGATACACTTCTTTTAACTGCTCATTGACATTTTGCCTTCAAAGAAAAAACTTGATAGATTCTTATGAAACCGATCGAAGACTTAGTCTAGACTGCAGATAGTATGTGAGCAAGTATAGACCTTTCTTTATTCTTAAACATCCACTTAACCGGTTAGCAGATAGATGACGATTCATGGGGATGCAATCTATAATTGGGATTTCCTCTCTGGAGCTTAATACTGTCTTCATAAGCAAGTCTATGAGAATCATAAAAAAATCTTATGACACTCATAGGGTGAGTTTGGCAAAACGTTATTTTAACCAGGTTTGTATGTTTCACAAATACACTGTTATAAGCCACAATGTTAAATTTGCAGTGTCGTTCAAATAGACTGGAATTGATGTTACTCTCATTTAAGCTACTTGTTTCAATCATAAAGTTAGGAAAATATGAAGGAACTGCAGGAGTAATCTTATTAGATTTGGCGGAAAGAAATGTTTCATTTGCAGAAAACCATTGAGTATGTAGCGAATAAATGAGCATTACATAATAAAAAACTCATGTGGGTGATTTTTAAAACCAGGCTATCGGTAGTGAATTCATTTTGCTGTAGATGAAAAAGTTACCTATCGTGAACGCTTAGGCGTGAAAACCACTGTTTGCAGGTAATGCATCTCCTCGATTTCGCTCTACTTTGTCCAGTGACATTTACATCATTTGTGTAACAATAATCATCAAGTAGCACTGACTACTTAATTCTGAATCTTGATCTCGTGTATGTAAGAAGCTAAATGCTGAAACTCGTGAAGATTTCCTCCGCTCACTGTGCTTTGTAAATCTGTCTAAAAAGCTAATGCCAGTTATCCCGTCAGCAATAGTTATAAATTAACTTGAGTACTTGGATGACATCCAGTGACAACCTAATTGTCCAACCTAATGCACAGCACTGTTTTACTTACTGCAATATAACACAGGAGAAAAATTCAACACTATTGATTCCAGATACTATCTCTGATGAGAAAATACCCGTTTTTAACAGTGTGGGAGATGTGAGTTGATAATGAAATGCAATCCAGATAGTAACATGTGGCTAAAATTTCCTTTAGAATGTTAAAACGTATGTGGTCGCTTAAAACAAAATATGAACCACTTTCGTAACGAGTTCTACAGAAATGGACATGCACATTATAAGGGAAAGCAAAAGATAAAAGACAGTGAAACTTTAATTTCCTCTAAAAATATGTGGCAAGATTGGACTGAATTGAAAGTCCGAATGAATGAATCCACACAGAATCCACACATACAGCAAACAGTCTATATTACCAGGCAGGAATAGAATATAATGAAGATAAAATAAGTTGATCGGGATGAAATAATCACGTTTCCCTTGAGAGCTAGTGACAACATAACGTAAAAGAAAGAGAAAATATGAGGATATACTCACTGTGGTTTTTCTGTCACAACCCTGTTTAGTATACGTCATTGCAAAGAGAGAGAGAGAGACGATACCGGAGTAGTGAAAATATATAAATGCAGATTACTGAACGAATTCACAAAGAATATCCATTGAAACTTACTACGCCTCAAGGATATTTTCCGCTCATTATCTCACTAAGTTGGTGATATTCATATCATACTTGCAGTTGCTCAGAATTAGAAATAAATATCAATTAAATCAGTGTGAAGCGTTCGGCGACTTGATTTACTAATAGTGAATGATTTTGCAGAACTACAACGGAAACACCTGTCTGCAGCAAAATATTTCTATTATCTTCTTACAAACATTAACTGGATTATATTGAAGAATCTTAGTGTATACTCACAAGATAAACAGACACTCTTCAAATATGCAACATATATCTCGTTTATCCTTATGCAATCACTGGAATTATTGAGAGATTTTAGTGATATACCTTAATAAGAAGGGGAAACTATTCGTAATCCAATTAACAATGAGAACGTATTCGAAATATTTGCTTCGAACTTTTTGACTTTCAATACCCCTTTCATTTTAGGCAAAGCAGTAAGAAGACGTAATTTGTCTTGATCGTGAATTTTATCTGCGCAACACATTTCGAACAACCTGATTACACATGGACATGTCACAGGAATTATGTCGAGTTAAAAGGACATATTGAAGGTTAAAATAACAATACAAACCACTAAACCTTCCTTGATAATGTTTGTCTTGATACCAGAGTGGATGCGCTATTACATGTCTTCCTTGGTCTAGTGATCTTCATTGTTATTTTGACCTTCAATATGTCCTTTTAACTCGACCTAAATCTATTTTCTCACCTCTCAACTGTAATTATTTTCATATATATATATTCCTGTGACAAGTCCGTGTGTGATCAGATTTTTCGAAATGCGTTGCACAAATACATTACACGATTTAAACAAACAAGGCACTCCGAAGACATCACATTTATCCCAATTCTAAAACTCTTCAACGTCACACAAGAAACTTTATTGATTCTATTAACTCGCGTTTATTCGCGTTACAGAGAAATATATCACAGAGGTCTTCTGCTCTTTTTGAACTATCATCAATTGAAAGGGAATCGTTTAATGAATATGTTATCTTGGTGCAAAGCAAACGAGCTGAGAATGTCAAATCTGAATTGAACAGGAGCCTCAAATCCTTTGAAGTACAGAGGAAGTTCCCCATCGACCCCAATTAATTTGTTTTCAATCACTCCTCCGTCAGCTTGTCTACCCTACAACTAGAAGCCCTATTTTTAGGGTTGAAATTTTGTGACGTAAATCTATAAAGTAACAGACTGCACACGTATGTCAAATTTGGAAATCTTATTAGTCAAACAAACGACATTACTGCTAAATCTGATACAGATTTCTTACATTTCAAGTCTACAATTTCTGACTGCTGCATACATTACCTCAATTCAAAAACTAAAGTCCGGCACCTCCTGACAAAAGAACACAAACACCAGCTTAAAGACTTGAGAAACAACAAAGATCTGATCATTACACTTCTAGACAGAGGTTCGGGAGTGGTCCTTATGGATATCAATAAGTTGACAGCTCTAATCTCTAATAATAATAAAATTTTCAAAACCAGACAATGAGGAGAATAAGACAGAACAGATGGAACAGCAACTGACAGATGTTCTTAGGAGAATGAAGAACGAATGCCTTATAACTGAGGACCTATTTGAACGTCTGAGACCAAAAGGATCAATTATCCCTCGACTCTACGGTCTACCAAGGCTGCACAAAGCAGGTCTGCCACTTCGACCAATTTTAGACATGGAGGGATCACCTTACCATCCGACTGCCAAATGGTTGTCCGAAATCCTGGAGCCTGTGAGACGACAACTCGGTAAGTACTCTCTAAGAGATACTTTTGAATTTATTGAGCTTATAATAGACTTGAATGTTAATGGCAAACGAATGTTATCGCTGGACGTGGTATCCCTATTTATGAATGCGACGCTCACAGACATAATTTGTTTCCTTTGCAAATATATATATACCAAGCTCATATCTGAAAGAGGTGTTATTAAGGTGCACACTCAACGTACATTTTACGTTCAACGACCTCATCTACAGACAGAAAAACGGGATTGCTATTGGCTCTCCTCTTGGCCCACTTTTGGCAGACTGCCTCATGGCCAGCTTGAGAAACGGCATCTTCAAATCAAAAATGGACAGATTGCTGCTGTACAAAAGATACGTCGATGACACTTTTATAGTTTGTCAGGATGATTCCGATTTAAATTGTATCTAGCAGGATTTTAATGACTGCCATCCTTCAATTAAATTCACAATGGAAGTTGAAAATGAATCAAAGATTCCATTCGTGGACGTCAAATTGACAAGAAGAGATGACAGAACTCTGAAAAGATCTATCCATAGAAAACCAACATGGAATGACCAACTGACGAACTTCTACAATTGGATACCTATCAGCTGTAAAAGAGCTCTCATTATCTCGCTAGCCCACCGCACCAGAAGAATTTGTGGCGATGATTGTTTAGAAGAAGAGCTCCTATTTCTCGAAAGCCTCCTGGTTCAAAATGGTTTCACACCACGTTTCGTGGAGAAGAACATGAAACCAAGGCCAAAAAGAGAAGAATACACTTCAGTATCAAAGAAAACACTTTATTTGAATCTAGAATTCAGGGGAGACCTAGCAGCAGATATCCTTAAAAGGAGAATTTCCAATTCCCTGAAGAACAATTTTCTAGCAGCGACTGTAAGAGTGATATCCTCTAGCCACTTTTTACTTCGAAGCAACGGGAAGGACAGACTTCCGCATATGGCCACTTCGATGTGCATATATCAGTTCACCTGAAATGCGGAGCTAGGTACGTAGGTCGTTCTATGTAGGTCTTATCAAAACATGTCAGAGAACATCATCCAGCATGGCTGCAAAGAAGAGGCACTTGTTCAATCAAAAGCGCAATAACTGAACACCTCGTCAATACCTGTCACAGAATCTCACCTGACTCATCCATCATTCAGAGTCATTTACAAAGTAAACAAAAATCTACCGAAGGTGGTGTATTTCTGACTTCTTTGTACTGCGGAAGCTCTCGCCATATGCATTAAAAAGCCGAAGCTATGTGATCAAAAGAAAATAGTTCAGCCTTTAAAACTACCATGAACCTATTTCGGTATGTTCCCTTATCCCTCAGTTTTTTGTTTTGTTCTCTGTGGGTGTAATTTTCTTTCTTTGCCTTCATTCAATTCATCCAATTTTTTCAGTTATAAAATCAATTATTTTAAGTTTATTTCCATGATCCTCCTGATCACACTTGTAATCCGGTTAGAATAACCATTTTACAATTATATTCTAATCCTGTGTAGTTTGTTTTCTACGCCTCTTGTAATCTATATTCACACCTCCTAACTTACATTTCAAGTTGAAAATCTTGATTTCAATATGTTTCCATGCTCACTTTGTTCACACCTGTAATTCATTCTATCCCTGCGTCTCTAAGCCTCTTGTAATTCATATCAAGTTGAAAATAATTATCACGTTTTATTCGCCTTTAAAATTATTTCTCCAGTTATCAAATATTAATTTTGCATACGTTGTAACTGTTTTCTAGTCCTATTTAATCTTGTTCCTAAGCCCCTTGTAATCTATATTCGTACCTTCAAACTTTCATATCAATTTGAAAATTATTATCACCTTCGCCACTATGTGTAATTAAACAAATAATAATTGTATCCATGTAAACTAATCTATGTAAATGCGATTGTACAGCTTTTGAAAAATGAAATCGCCGAAAAGATATCTTTGTTAAACAAATTACGCCTTCTTATTGGTGTGTCCAATTCATTATTTTTCCTTCACGTTCCCCAGTGGAACATAGGACTTCAAGCTAGAGGCTAGAAGTTTCTGTAGCAGTATTTTTCAGTTTTTACGGGATGGGGTTGCTAGCCTCATGCCCAACCCTTCCTCTTCACCAGCATTATTTCTGGCTTTGTGAGGTAAAGGTGTGCGTCCAGTGGCCGTGGATCGAACTCCAGAACACCTGCATGGTCGGAGAGCAATCTACCGCTGTGCCACCGACGCACTCAGCATATACAGCAAAATTTGAATTTTGAACACCAGTCTGTTCTTCCAAATGGGACAGGAACTGAGTGAGTCATGAGAAGCATTTACATCGGATTACTACAAACATTTATAAACAGTTGCCTTCTCTAGCTGTATACTCAACATCCGATGGCTGGCTGGAAACAATTAGCAATAACATGCTTACAGAAGGAAACAGACTAAGACATATTGCTCAACATATATGTACAAGAAATTGAAGATGGATCGAACTTTCACCCAAGAAGGACATGGAATAGACAATGTGAGGACATGATAAGAGCTTATGGGAAATCGTGAGGCCAGCTACAGAAGATTACAGGAAAAAGAGAGTGAAATGAAGATGCTCTGTCGAAGCCCCATGTTCCACTCACAACTCAAGGTGATAAGAAAATAATAATAATAGTGATAATAATGGATATCAAAGAGATGTGTAAACTAAATCCACAAGATTATCCCTTTTGACTTACTCTGGTTTCTTTTCTGGGTGCCTGAAATCATGTAGATAAAATACTCAGTAATTCGTAATCAATAAACACAAGAATGAAATGCATCCGTGCCCACAGTAGATCAACTATTTCAATGATAGCAGTATCATCCTCTGTGATAGATCGTGATTTGCACTCTTCATTGTATGCATATTATTGTATTTAGCCTTTAGAATTGAGTTTTAACAAAAAGTTTATAAATTCCTGATTATATATTGACCCGTCAGTATCTCTATAGATGAATGACGATGGTTCATTTCCAGTTTTATTCCCTAAATTTTGCAGTGAAAACGCTCATTTCTGAATATTTTGTGAAGCTCAGAAACCGAATTAGGAACGCCATTAGGAGATGCATCCACTTTCCCGACACAATGACCTAATCAATGATCACACAGTTACGTTCAACATACTGAGGATGTTAAGACACTAACCCCCATTTAACAACCACGAACTTATCTCATATTCGCGAAACATTCAATCTCCTCAATAAACAAATCGTGTTAGAACAGCATAATGCATAATGCGAAATGAATTCACACTCACTTTGGCTGCTCTGGATGTTTTCTGTGGAAGATATCGGACATATGAATTGAAGGTAGTGATGAATTAAAAACAATGACAATAATCATGACAACTGAGAAGCACTTAGTTCGACGAAATAAAGGATTTAGCATATAATAATGTTACAGATTCTTGTGATAATTTTGTCGTTTGCCCTGACATCGCTTTTATGAGGTGCCTGGGAGGAATGTCACAAGTCCACCGGTATATTAGGTGGTCATTCATTCTGCTTCCGATTTCATATCTCAGTGTTAAAATATTTGATTAGGTTATGGCATTGGTCTACTGAATAAATACAGAAATCATAGCAATTTTTCTGCTGGAGTTGTTCGCGAATAGAATGTGAGTGACAGTCATTCTCAACATTAGAGTATAAATACAGAGACCATAGATCTTGGTGACTATAGTATGATTCATAGAATTCACTTCAATTAACCATACACTATACATATCAGCGTAATGTGTAAGCTATCTCTACAAGGTTGTCTTTGTTCACTTACTCTGGTTTCTTCTGTGGCTGCCTAAAATTGTGTCAATGAAAAACTGCATGAATTGTATTTGATAAACACAAGATATATAAAAGATTATCATTTCCCGCAACAGAAAGTTACTTATTTTACTAGTTCATCACCAGCTTCGTGGCCTGGTCTAAGCCCAGAAATTGAGAATATAGAGGGTATTGGTCTAGTGACTGCACCGTTGAACATCAATCCAATTGCTACAGGTCTATCAGCTCAAGCCACTTTTGTGATTTCAGTCTCGAAACTTCGAATATTTCAAGTAACAAAAAGTAAGCTGTGCATCTATAATAAGGATCAGTCTAGAGATATACATCAAAATACAGCAGGAAAGAGGAAGTTCAGAGAAATTCAAGTGAAATGTATTTTCAGTGACTGCTGTAACCGCTTTCAATGGAGAGTATGTAGATATGGTATTCCTCTCAAATATTATTTCAAAATAAGCTTCCATTAATTCGGGAGCAATCAAGAAAAATGTCAGTTTAAGGTGGCAGTCGGGAATCTTAACGATATATTTCTGCATATTTCGTCAGCAGAACAAATATCGTGACTGACCATTACGAAACGGACGGTCTACGCAAATCTATGTTGTGTACACGAAGGTTAACATAAGTTTCCAAACGATAATGTCTGCTATCCACTTCACACAACATTCCACAACGCATATCAAAGAAGTGTGTTGATCAACTTACTCTGTTTTCATCTGTGGGTGCCTAAAGTTGTGTAGATGAAATATTTCATTGTACGTATTAGAAAAAGATCATAGGGATGAAACGTATGACTGCCTATACTAGATGAACTATTTCTGTGATAAATGGTGGTTTTCACTCTTCATTCTATAAGTATATAAGTGAATATCAGTTTTGCCAAAAACTGCAGAAATTCTTACTTGGATATTAATCTATTAGTACCTCTCTTATTTTTCATACCCTTTCTGAAAAATCTTCCCTCTCGAGTTGTTCGTCAGCATAAACTTCTTCTCTTTCTACATGCACCTTGATATAAACTTATGAAATTATTTTTGTTACGAGTTTGACCACAGATTGACACCAGTTAGAGAACTATTGAAAACCAGGGAGTGCTGGACAGCTGTTTCATCCTACTGGGGTTTGAACCCAGGACGTTCCAGTTACAAGGCAAGCTCGTAAGCCATTTAGTCACTCAGACCCGATTCATTGACGTACTGTCGATGATTCCCAGTACTCCCTGATTTTCAATGGTTCTCTAACTGATATTGCAACGACAGCAGACAAGGACCAGGCAACAGATCGTTTATTGAGAAAATCAAGAGATATTTATAAATGTTTATGTACAATGTCATTCGTTATTTTAGCAGAGAAACAACGTCCTCTGATTGGTTTTCCTTGTTGAAGGTTATTCTGTACCGCTTTTGACCGTTACTTACAAAGTTATCTATATATCTGCAAATTGTATTTACACACGCTAAGTCTGCTGTGATTGGTTGTTGAGTTCCTCAAGGTTAGGCTTTGTTCTAATTTTTTCTCACGACCACGATTTGGGACGTAAACATAGACGTCAATTGTTGTTGACGATTTTGGCTTGCAGACAGCTCTCACCACAGTATCAATCTATGGTCAAACTCGTAAAAACGAATCTAATCCTTACAAACCAACTCTTAAAATTATTTGTCTCATTACGTATTTCCGACCCATTATTCAACTTCTCATATACATATATATAAATATCAGCACTACTCCTCATAATGATCCAACCACTTCTCATCATTTATTTTTACTAGAGATAAACAGGTATATAAATGAAACTATAAATCTTCAGAAAATGAATTCGCCGAAAAGAAACATTTCGCTGAACTACATGATGCCTTCATATAAATGCTCGGAAGGGAATTATTCATGAATTAATCTCTTGGATCAATTCATTTAGTGATTTAAAGAATATTGCTGGTCTTCAGAAACAATGTGGAATCTCCATGGGGTATTTCCGCATATTTCGTAATCAAAAACAGGCTGTTTATTGATCTTTACGAAAACCCACAGTCAATGCAAATCTATGCTGGTTAAGTGGCTGTAATAATCTTAGTGACCAGGGTATGATGGGTGTAAGTCATTTGAAATAACCATACACAATGCAAATCAAAGAAATGTGTGAACAACATATACATAGCTGTCTGTTCCGGTGACTTACTCTGGTTTCAACGGTGGATGCCTAAAATTATGTAGGTGAAAGACTCAGGAATTCATAGTTGAGGAACATAAAATAGTAACGCATCATTCCTAACAGCTGATGAACTTTCCAATCACAAGAATTTTGCTTCCCACGATACATTGTGTTTTTGCACTCTACATTCTATGAGTATGAAAATACGTTGTTAATAGGTTGACAAATGGCCATACTGAAAAGTGAATAAAGTCTCGCTTCGACATTCATCCATCACTATGTCTCTGAATAAATACAGACAGTTTAGCTTTCCGAAATTCTTCTCCAGTTCAATTCGTCAAATGTGAATTGGGGGGCACTGACTACTGAATATTTTGTGGTGGTCATAGGGTGGAATAGGGAAGTTGTTAGAATGTGCATCGATGTTCTCCATTCAATAACACACTCATTCAAATCATGAGAAGCTTCAACATACTGAAGTTGTTCAGATACTAGCCATCTTTGAACAGTGATGAACTAATCTCATTTACAGTAATCACTCATACTCGTTGCTAAACAAATTTTATTGAGAACATCAAATAATGGGAATTAAAATTTCACTCACGTTGGTTCCTGCGTCTGCATCCTGTTGAAGATATTGAACATATAAATTGAAGGTAATAATGAGTGGAAATTGCCCCAAAAAGCAGTCATATCCACAGTGGATATCATAAAATATGTAAAATGACTCTACAAGGTTGTCCTCGATGGCTTACTCAGGTTTCATCTGTGGGTGACTAAAGTTGTGTAGATGAACTACTGAGTCATTCGTGATCAACTAATATAAGATATAAATCCATCATTTCACACAGTAGAAACAAATTAATAATTTTTAAAGATTCTGTACATTATGTTATCTTTCATTCCACTTCCTCTCCTTGTTTGACATTCCACTAGATTTTAGCCAGTCCTGTTTGTGGAAAAATGGGACATCTAGGGCGATGGGATAGAAAATTTTACCCGGAATATCAATCCTATCTCAATGGAAACTTCAAGGCACAACAACAATATTACAGACTAGTTAATTCTTCGATACAACCGAAGAGACGAATTGACGCGTTCCGTTGAAATCCTTCAAAAAGACTTTGTCTTGGTATGTTTAATTGCAATGATGACAAAAATAAGGTAAATTGACCGATGTGTAATATTGTTCCCCAGGCTGTTGATCCAGTGGAACACGAATGGGAAGACAACAAGTTTGAAGTACACGGCTGACATGATGGACAACCCATGAGGAGGACATGAAAGCGTATATGCAATGGTGGAGCCAGCTAGAGAGGAATGCAGAGAACAGAACAAAGTGGAGGTATCCTGTTGAATTCCAATGTTCCACTCGTTCCGCTCTGATATACTAACACCAAATGTCAACACTTTTGGTCACATTATCGCTGTCGTCTACTTAATCATTTCGTAAATTATGACCATTTTACGACAGAAATTAGCAATAGGTTATTACACAAATAATAATTAGTAACCAATGGATCATCAAGTAGAGTACCACAAAACACTCACATTGGTGTTGGTGTCGTGACCCTAATAAAACAAATCAGTAAAGAGATAGTGTAAGAAAAAACCGAAGTAGTGAAAATATAGACTGATGGAAATTATCCAATGAAATCGTACGGAGTATGCTACGAAATTTGTTTAACGCACCATAATTTCGCCCACAGTGTCCTAATCATACGCTTACATTGGCTGTACAAATTTTAATGAGAAATCTACGTGGAATCGATTAATGTTAAATTTACAGAAATTACCCAATACAAGTTCATAAGAAATTAGTCGTAAACAATATTCAACAAGAATAAAAGCTGTTAAATCAGCTTTCGAGTTTGCCTGTTATCCTAACTTTTTGAGAAATCGACCATCATAAATTAGTACAAGATTTCATTGTCTTTCTTAAACTTGTAAAAGTCGGAAAAGAAACTTAATTAGATCTCTTGCACTCGCGTCCGACGCAACTGTAGCTCTGACACCTTGGAAGAAGAACTAAACTTCCTGAAAGAAACCTTCTTACAAAACGGTTACCCATCAAGATTCGTAGACAAAAACATCAAACAAAAAATCAAAAAGCAAGAGATAGCATTTGTGTCAAAAAAGATACTTTATATGAACCTCGACTTCAAAGGAGACCTACTCAGTGACGTCCTTAGGAAGAGAATCTCCATCTCTTTAAGAAGAACTTTCTTTACGACAACATTGAGAGTAATGTTCTCCAGTCGCCCGCTGATCTGCAGAAGCCCAAAAGACAAGATCCCGCACCTGACCACTTCTGTGTGTATATATCAGTGCACTTTTTGCTGTGGAGCCAGGTACATCGGTCGTTCAATGCGTATCCTGTCAAAAAGGGTCAAAGAACACTATCCAGCGTGGCTGCAGAAAGGAAGTAATGGCTGCATAAGGAGTGCAATAATAGAACACCTCGTCACCACTGGTCATTCCATCTCAACAAACGCCTCCTTCAAAGTAATCTACAAAGTGAAGAACAACCTTCCAAAGACAGTACGATTCCGTCTTCTTTGCATCGCAGAAGCCCTAGTCATTAAGCTAGAGGAACCAAAACTGTGCATACAAAAGAAAATTATTCAACCACTTCTACTCCCATGGTAACAACTGTGTTGATTTGACTTAACTTTTCTTTGTTTGTTTGTTTGATTTGACTTAACTTCTGTTAGTAGGCTTATTTTTCTACTTAAAACCCTTGTGTAATTCCGTATATATTTTGTTTTCACTAGGTTGAGTAACTTCCTAAAATCGAATTAATCCACTTTTCCTCTGCTTTGTACAGTCAGGTAAGTGTGAAAGGAACACATGATTCAGAAACAAATTCCTATAGCCAGAAGACCACTGAAGTGGCTAGACTTATTATAACCATTCATCTTTCTCATAGCTTAGATTATTAATTACTCATAAACTAGTAGATCACCACTGCTTTTGAATAATTTCAATGTTATCTTTTGAAACAGGCAGCAGTTGAGAAGGAAATAAATCCAATGAAAATAAATGTATTTCATGATTCATTTCTTCTCTCTGACTGAGCTTTACTAATTTCATTTTCACTTGCTATATCCGTTTTTCGCTTCTAACATTTCTGGTAACAAATCATAACACTTAAGTTTGTCCCTCCTCAGATTTTACTTCATAACATGAATAAATCTGAATATCAAAGTAAAATATATGAAATCCTCAAAAAATCAATCCAAATTTCTAGTAGAAAAAGTGTCAGGTGTGCTGCTTGTGGAATAACGGCTTGATAATCACCTTCAGAATTTGCTGATGTATGTTTCTATAAATAAAAAAATTTATGAAGAACTTAAAGAAATTGGATCACAACCCCACCTACCCCTATTTGTATGTCCTTCCGAAATTTCACAAGCCTAGAAATCCCCTAACAGCCATCTCAGATATGTCAAATTGTCCATGGCATTTTACTAGGCAAATTTCCTGTTGGATAGTAACAAAACTGCTGAAATGGAAACGTTATTCACTCCATTTATGCTTGCTAAATATGGATTACTTAACTGTTCCATCGTCCCCCATAGTCGTTGAAATATCTAGGAAACCCGAATTGTTTCTTTATTCCTTTACGTTACCAGTGGAAGATAAGGCTTCAAGTGAGAGGCTTGAAGTCTCAGTATCAGTGGTGATTATTTTTACGGGATGGAGTTGCTAGCCTCATGCCCAACCTTCCCTCTTTACCAGTCTTATTACTGGCTTAGCGAGGTGAAGGATTGCGTCAGGTTAGGGCTCGAACCCCAAACCACCTGAGTGGTTAAAAAGCATTCTACCGCTGTGCCATCCAAATTTTCACTTAATTCGAATTCTGAGTCCCCTAGAATACTTGGATAAATATTAATAAATAGAGCAGTGAAGTTTCCGGTTGAATCACTATCGCCATCAATAGTAAACGTACCATCTACATAACGTTTGATAGTGTACAGTTTCTTAGCTATAAATTTCCATTTCTTCCTCCTATTTAGACATAAATATATCCGATAATACGGCCTAGTGATGTCTTCCAATTACGTCACCATCAATTCGTTTGTACGCTTGTATCTTGTGAGACCAATCCGATAATTTCTGTACATGTCAAGATAATATCTGCAGTGTAAGTGATAGGTCAGACGACAGTGTTCCATTGCTTGTGATATTAGGGCAAATACGACCAATAATCTCTTGAATTTGAACATTGATGAACGAAAGAAATTATGCTGTTATCATCATGTTTACCTACTAAACTTTTGAAATTTCTAATATCATAAAGCCTTGATGTCAGTCACTGACTGATTTATATGTGAAACTTTGTAAACATGTTTCTGAGTAATAAATACACAGCCGTAATCTTCAGTCTCGCAGCTATTTTTGTAATTACATTCTCGGAATTCCTAATCCTTCGAAGTGACGGGACGTAAGATGTACCTCTATAAAATATACATATATATATAAATTTGGAGAAATATTGTAAATGCAGAAGGAAATTGGAAATTCGGTGAAGTAGGAAAATCAACTGAAATGGAGTTCTTTCGATAGCAGCAAAGGATTTCAGTAGACAGCATTCACCTCAAAATGGTGTTTCAAAATAACAGTCACTTTCGTCATTCCGTATTTTGAGGAGAATTAAAGCATTATTGTCAGTTATCAATAACACTGTGGGATCTCAATGGAAGACATCCACTAATTTCATTGGAAAAACAAGTCTATTTACTGATCCTTATGGAAAAAGATGATCAGTGCATATCTGCGTCAGCAATACTTCTCCTCCTTTGCTTTGAATGTTACATGAAGTATGAAAACTCGAACTGCTACATTTCTGTACAAAGATTCACTGTGACACCAGTCAGTCAGTATTAAGTATATATAGATTATCCATGGTGAGCACAACATGATAAGCAGATTTCATTTGCAATTATCAACCACAGTGGATATCACAGAGATGTGTAAACTAACTTTATAAGATTATCCGTGATGACTTACTCTGGTTTCAACTGTGGCTGCCTAAAATTAGGTAGATGAAATACGTCATTATACGCAGTCAGTAAACAGAAAACAAAAACATAACACTGCCTAAACTAGAGGAACTATTTCAATGATGGACGCCTTTCTTTCAACGATAGATGGTGTTTTGCACTCTTCATTATATGACTATGATTTTATATTGTTCCTGATAAAAGCTTAGACCAAAAGCAGCATAAAATCTCGATTCCATATCAATCAATCACTATTTTTCCTGAAAAATACTGACGCCTTATTTTTCCCAAAAAATTTTATACCCTTTTCACTAGATTTCGAATTGAGAGAGCCCACTGCAGACTATTTCGTGATACACAGAAACAGCAGTGGGAAATATATTAGCACGTGCATCGATGTTCCAAACACAATAACATATTCATTCATTCCATGGGAAGGATGAACATAGTGAGGACGTTCAGACAATCGTCAAATAAGAACAACCATAAAAACGAAGGCCGTTTCTAGAAATCATTAAAGTCCCTTGATAATCAAAATTTTTCAGAATATCAAATAAACCAATATGAAATCACAATGATATTGGTTCCTGCGGATGCAATCTGTTGAAGTCACCGAACATATGGATTGAAGGAAGTCGGGGCGGTTGAAAATATTACAGGGAAAAGAGAGTGAAGTGAAGATGCTCTGTCAAGGCCCCATGTTCCACTCCCAACTCAAGGCGATAAGAAATAATAATAATATTGATAATAATGGATATCAAAGAGATGTGTCGATTAAATCCACAAGATTATCCCTTATGACTTACTCTGGTTTCATCTGTGGGTGCCTGAAATCATGTAGATGAAATACTCAGTAATTCGTAGTTAAGCCAAATAAGACGAAAACTCACCAATGCTTACATGAGGTGGATGATTTAAATGAAAGATGCCTCGTTTAATAGTGGTAGATTGTGTTTTGCATTCTTCATTGAATAAATATTATTAAACCTTTTTATGATAAAATCGGCATAAGCGAAATTAGCATAAATTCTTGCTAGTTTCGAAATTGATTCATCAGGTATTCTCTTAATAGATGCAGACGGTTTATTTCCCCTAAAATCTTTTCCACTTTTATTCCCCTAAATTCTTAAATGAGAACGCTGACTTCTGAGAATTTTCTGATGCTCAGAAAGCGAATGACAGACGTTATTGGGACATACATCAATGTTCCCGACACAATAACCTAATCATTCATCACGTGAGAAGCTTCAACATACTGAAAACTGTCAGACACTAATCATCATTTAATAGCCATTAACTAATCTCATATTCGCGAAACGTTTGATCTCCTCAGTAAATAGATCGTGTTAAAACAGCATCATATAATGCAAAATAAATGAAATCACACTCACGTTGGTTCCTGTGGATTCATTCTGTGGAAGACATTGAACATATGAATTGAAGGTAGTGGTGAATGACAAATATCTACAGTAATGATGATAACTGAGAAGTACTTCATTTGACATAATCATGACTACAGATTCTCAGTATGACTCAACACATTCGAATGTGACGGATTCTTGAGATACTGTTGTTCAGTAATATCTCGCTTTGATTTTTTCCTGAACACGCTGAGTTTATTTTACTAAATGTAAAACGATTCAGTCTCACTAGGCGCTCAAATTATTCCATAGAATTCGTGACATCTACGGTCTGGAAATTTATAATCCTTTGTTATTTGCTTTGAAATCGCTTTCGCGAGATGATTGATGGGAATGTTTCCAGTCATTCTGCACATTAAGTAATCGATCATTGAGCCTCGCACTTGCTAACTCCAAATGTCAATATTTTTGATGAAGTTTTCTCAGTTTTTGCCATATATATGGTTTTCAGTAAATAACGACCATTTCGTCTACAGGTATTTGGTATCAAGTCATTATATTAATAAGCATTTTTAGGATACACACTTATAAGTAGAATATGACAGAACACTCACTTTGGTGCTGGTGTCATAATGCTGATAAATATACATTAGTGCAGATGTGGGGAGAGAGAGTGAGACAACACCGGAGTAGTGGAAATATATAAATACGAAAAATTTCGAAACAATTCATAAATAATGTCTAATGAAATTTATTCGATCACATTATGATGTAGTGACCCATTTTATTACTCATAATCGTACTATACTTTCATTGTGTAATTGTACTTTGATTTGTTTATTACTCTTAATCTTGCATGTTAACAATTGATACCTTTTGTACTCGCTCGATTTTTGAATTTTGATTGCTGCAATAATACACTATCGTATTCCTTCACAAGTGCCTTTTGAATTACGTCGTGGACGTCGATTAATCACAACGTTAGCACACAATTATAAACGCGAAGAAGTACTAAGAGGTACGTGTACGCTAGTGTATTGCAAAATATAGCAGCACAACAATTGGTGAGCCCGACATACCTGATTCAAACCACAATGAATATTTACTCATCTAGTCGTGTCTATGTTGGTAGCTATTCATATTACACTCCAATAATTCGAAAAGAAATGCGAAGATCATTTAGACCAGTATGAAACATTCACCTACTTAACTCATTAATTATGAACGATTATATGTGAATAAACGTGAAGCAGCTGTCACGAGCAAATATTTCTACTATCTTGCTACAGATATGAGCTCAATCATGCTGAAGAATCACAATGTATATTCACCAGTTAAACAGACAGTCTTCATATATGCAACCCACATCACGTCTTTCGGGATCCACTCAACGAAATCATTGAGAAATATTTCTGATCCAGGTCATAAGAATAGAAAATTTTTCATTATCTATGTACACAATGTGAATGTATTTGAAACGTGCTCACTGGGCCTCCTGGCCTTCATTTGTTCTCTTAATATGATAACATTCGGCCTGAGGTTTAACCTGCCACGAGAAATGAATGCAGTCGAAGCTTAGCCCACTCATCATGAGTGACTGATAGTTGTGTGAAATTCATGTAATTTAGTGGAGAAACCATGACCGATTTCGTTTTGATAATCGATGAAACGATTGACGGTTATTGATAAAATGAAGCTTGAAGTTGATGTGGTAATGAGATGCAACGCATTATATCTAGAGAAAAAAGTGTAATTCTCATTTGAAATGTCGGAGTGAATGCATTAGGCCAGTAGTTTCCTCTAACAAATACCCTTCCATCTGATTTTGGAAGCGTTTGAAGAAATAGACATTTGTCTTGGGGATTTCCGTACCAAATTGAGAAATTTCCGGCTATTACTCAGTATTCAATATTCAGCTTATGAAGAATGACATTATTCCCCTCTGTTCATATAGGTACCTCAATATAATAGTCTCTTCTTATGTTGTATTTATTCACGGAAGTATGGTATCCTGGGAATCTCAGAGGGTCATTGTCATAAATTTCATGGGGAAATCAAATACATTGATTGATCTTGACGAAAACTGACAGTCTATACAAATTTATGTAAAGTACACTCAAATTCTCCTCAACGACCACATTGCGATTCGTGGAATACATTTAAAGGAACAACAAGCATATCGAAAAAATATGTAAACTAACTGTACAAGATTATCATTGGAGACTTACTCTGGTTTCATCTGTGGGTGCCTAAAATTATGTAGGTGAAAGACTCAGGAATTCATTTTTAAGGAACATAAGATAGCAATGCATCATTGCTAACAGCTGATTTACTTTTCTAACAAAGGTATTTTGTTTCTCACGATACGTCGTGTTCTAACTCTACATTCTATGAGTATGAAAATACGTTGTTAATAGGTTGATAATAGGCCATAATGAATAGTGAATGAAGTCTCGCTTCGACATTCATGAATCACTATGTCTCTGAATAAATTCAGATAGTTTAGCTTTCCAAATTTCTTCTCCAGTTCGATTCGTCAAATTTGAATTGGGGAACACTGACTACTGAATATTTTGTGGTGGTCATAAGGCGGAATAGGGAAGTTGTTAGAATGTGCATCGATGTTCTCCATCCAATAACACACTCATTCAAATCATGAGAAGCTTCAACATACTGAAGTTGTTCAGATACTAGCCATCTTTGAACGGTGATGAACTAATCTCATTTTCAGGAAATTTTCAAGTCCTCTGATAAACAAGGTTTACGAAAACAGCATATTGAAATGAAAAATCAAATCACACTCACATTGGTTCCTCTGGGTGTATCCTGTGGAAGACAATGAACATACGATTTGATAGTATTGACTAACAAAATTTACTGACAACAGTCTTGAAATCAGCTGGTGTTAAATAATGTTTAAACTATGTGAACATGTTTGTCTTTGGTGACTTACCATGGTTTCGTCTGTGGGAGCCTAGAATTACGTAGGTGAAATGCTGTATCACACACACTTGGCTAACGAATGTAAGATAAAGACGTTTCACTGCTTACTCTAGAAGATCTATTTCAATGTTTGAATTCTGATCTATTTCAGCTACTTGTTAGTGCAGTAATTTTGGACCACACTGTCAGCAGAATTTTTTCACGAATTGGTTGGAAGAAATGATTTCTATCATTCTGTATGTTTGTTCGTGTATATTTAGACGATAAATCATGGTGCCTACAATATGGTTTCTGACATTTATCCTAAATAATCTTCCACATTCGATGTTGATAAAGATGGCCCAATGGAAGGATGGATAACAGAAAGTGAATTTGAGTTCAATGTACATCACACTGACCAAAGAAATGAAGAGGAGTGGGATGAAAGACAATGGTCATTTCTACGACACAATGTCAACTGAAGGCAAGTTTCAACAGAAGAACAACTATTCTTTCTTCATGAATGTCTACGTTAGCAGATTCTAACAGCTAGTGTCAAATATAAACCACCAATTAACTGCCCTCTAGGCTGGAGATTAGCCAAACAACATGGAAAACAAATGGTGAAACTAATGATCACTGATGCATAAAATAAAATTAAAAAATACCAGCATATGATTAGATTCCAAAAAGAAAAGTTTGAACAAACTCTTACGCCAGAACATCTGTCAACATTGAATACTTCCATTAAAATATTAAGCGAACAACACAAGGAACGATGACGTGTTGTCCTCAAAGGAAAACTAGCTAAGATATCCAAACAACCATTTGATGAAACTTTAAATGATTGCGTAGCATATCTATCAAAACAACCATTATCGAAAGCAGAAGAACAACTTCTCCACAAATGACTAAACTACACTACTGGTGACGCTTCAGTAACAGATTTCTGTGCTTCCTTAGAATCATCACTCAAATTATCAAAATTAAATGATGAAGTACAAAAAGAAGTACGTCAGTGTATCATACCTATACTCAAACGAAATAGACAGAATTCCCAACTTAGCACTGAAGTGCAAAATGCATTGAAGAAACTGAAGAATAGAAAAAATACAGTTATTCTACGGCCGATAAAGGAAGAACAACAGTATTCCTGGACACAGAAGACTACATAAAGAAAGCAGAGGATTTACTCAAAGATAATAATGGATATCAACAGTTGACAAAAAACCCTATACAAATATTAGATAACAAAATCAGAACAACATAAATAGACTAACGAAATCAGAACAAATTACAGAACAAGATCAATGGCGAATGAGATCTAACGGACCTATTTTAGCTCGATTCTATGATAGACCAAAACTACACAAACCAAACATTCTCTTACGACCAATCGCCTCGTTGTGCGTCGGTGGTATAGCGGTTAGGACGCTTGCCGACCATGCACATGGTCCGGGTTTCGATCCCCAGCCGACGCACTCCTTTACCACACGAAGCCATAAATAATGCCGGTGAAGAGGAAAGGTTGGGCACGTGGCTAGCAACCCCATCCTGTAAAAATAAACACTGCTACAGAAACTTCGAGCCACTAGCTTGAAGCCCTATGTTCCACTGGGGAACGTGAAGGAAAAAAAACAGAATCATGCGACCATTCTATCAATTCGTCAATCCAATATTTAAAGAAAATCAAAAACATTCAAGTAGAACCACGAAAAATACCCATTTATTCATAAGTAAAAACACAGTTTTTGTTCAGCGAAGAAATTTCTTTTCAACGACTTCATTTTCAAGCTGTACAGTCGTATTTATATTACAGAAAAGGTCATTAAGTGGCACTAAATAATTGCTCAGTCAATATACATATATGTGATAAGAACAACGATAATTAAAATGTTATAAGGGGTAGAGTTGAAGTGGATAAATTACAAAATTATTAAAGATTGTTTTATAAGTGAATTGAAAAATGTTCTAAAAATGTCGTTATTCTTATCACATGTATGTATATTGACTGAGCAATTCTTTAGTGCCACTTAATGACCTTTTCAGCAATTCAAGTAGAAGACAATGAAATAATGGTGTCCTTTGATGTCACAGCATCATATACTTCAATTAATCCAAAACTAGCAACACAAACTATGCAAAAATTACTCTTTAATGATGAAAACATAAAAACGCAATGTTCAGCTTGGATAGAACTCATAAAATTATGCCTTACAACATACTTCCAATTTAATACTCAAATATATATGGGATCACCTATATCAGAACTAAGAGCTGAAGCTGTTATGCAAAGATTAGAATTAATAGCTCTACCTACGATTAAACTGAAAATCTGGGTACGTTACGTTGATGATACATTTGTAATAATCAAGAGAAATGATTTAGAATATACCCATAAATTAATAAACAACATATTTGAAGATATCAAGTTCACAAGAGAAGAAGAATTGGATAACAAAATCCCATTTTCAGATGTCTTAATCAGGAGAACCAACACAGGAAATTTAGAAACACAAGTATACAGATAATCAACGAACACAGATCAAATACTCAACTATACTAGCAATAATCCAATTACTCACAAACGAAACTGTGTTCAGACATTGTTTAAAAGAGTTCATACACATTGTAGCACTCCAGAGTTGAAAAGAATGGAAGAAAAATACCTACAAAGGGTCTTCAAAACGAATGGTTATCCACAAAATTCCATCAAAAAGTGTTTAAAGTCGAATCAAAACACCAACTAGAAACTATCATCAAAGACCACAAGAAAATTCATCCTGCCATACATGAGAAATATCTCTGAAATAACAGCTAGAATACTAAAACCGTTTGAAATGGATATAGCACACAAGCCAGTAAAATCGCTTAATTCGATATTATGCAAACCGAAAGATCCAACAGAAAATGGAGATAAAATTAATACCATTTACAAAATAAATTGTATGGACTGCAACAGGCATTACATCGGCCAAAGCGGGCGTCCCCCTCCAATTCGAATCCAAGAATACAAATCAGCCGTGAAAAGACACGATATATATTCTTTAGTATCAATTTTTTTTCCTTCACGTTCCCCAGTAGAACATAGGACTTCAAGCTAGTGGCTTGAAGTTTCTGTAGCAGTGTTTATTTTACAGGATGGGGTTGATAGCCTCATGCCCAACCTTTCCTCTTCACCGGCATTATATTTGGCTTCATGTGGTAAAGGAGTGCGTCGGCCGGGGATCGAAACCCGGACCATGTGAATGGTCGGCGAGCGTCTTAACCGCTATGCCACGGACGAGATCAGTATCAATGAATATAGACAATTATCGATATCAGTTTGATTGGGATAATGCCGAAAACTAAGAAAGAGGAAACACTAAAAGTGCCAGGTAATTCCTAGCAGCCTGGTACTCAAACGAAAACGCAATTAACAAACACGTCAATATAGACGAAATATACCAACTAATAAAAAGTAAATCAGGTGACCAGAAAAATTAAAATCCAAGTCAATAGAAAATGGCAACTATATTTGTAAAGATGGTTAACAGGAGACGCAATTGTATCGCTCATGAAGAAATTTAAATCATTTCACTTTATGCTTAATATTGTGATGGAGATGTTGTCCAGAAGGACGATGAAAGCTCCGCAACAAAACCGACCAGCTCAAAGAACACAATTGATTGCGGAAACCTACCTTGTCAAACTACCAAGGAAGACCGACATAAGCCTTTGCAGGAACTGGCGTGGAATCATCCTCTTGTCCACAATATTGACTCACGTTACTATGAAGAGAATAAAAGATGCACTGGACGCAGAACTCCACCCAGAACAAGATGGGTTCACGAAAATCAAATGATGTGTAGATCAATTTGAAACTTTATGTGTCACCATAGAACAGTGTACAGAATAGCAGTCAAATCTCTACCTCAGCTTCATTAACTTTGAAAAGGTCTTCCACTATGTTGACCGTGAAGTAATTTGAAAACTACCTCAACACTATGAAATGACCTAAATCTCTGCAAACCTCAGACACTGACTCGTATTATGACGCCATATGCCAAGTTATTCACAACCTGGAAACCCAATGAAGTTTTAAAGTGAAGGAACTCGTAAGACCATGCTGCCCACTATTACTGATGATATTCCTGATTGTGATGGACTGGAATATGCAGAAGACCTTACGTGGGGATTCAGCAGACAGTAATACATTGGACCTATATAACGACTCTAGAATAACTGGACTTCCTGGACGATTTATGTCTATTGCTGTGAAAACTTGATGACTCACAAACTAAAACCAGCCAGTCGGCGGAAGAAGTAGCAAAGAGAGGACTTCAAGTGAACGAAGACAATGCAAAGGTGAGCAAGATAACTAAAAAAACACCAGTCGTTATCAACGAAGGAATTTTGAAGTATATGAGTTACTTCACTCAGCCTGGCGCCATTGTTTCAACTACAGGCGACAGAACGGACGGGGATTTCAAAGCCAGCCACCATGGGGAAGCCAAGAGAGACCGACATCACTCTCAAAGCAGTGTGATAATCTTCCACACTCAACATTTTTTCTAATCCTTTACTTTCCCAGTGGAACATAAGACTTCAACCGAGAGGCTTGAAGTCTCAGTATCAGTGGTGATTATTTTTACGGGATGGAGTTGCTAGCCTCATGCCCAACCTTCCCTCTTTACCAGTCTTATTACTGGCTTAGCGAGGTGAAGGACTGCGTCCAGTGGCCGTGGATCGAACTCCGAAACACCTGCATGGTTGACGAGCACTCTACCGCTCTGCCACCGACGCACTCAGCATATACAGCAAAATTTGAATTTTGAACACCAGTCTGTTCTTCCAAATGGGACAGGAACTGAGTGAGTCGTGGGAAGCATTTATATCAGATTACTACAAACATTTATAAACAGTTGCCTTCTCTATCTGTATACTTAACATCCGATGGCCAGCTGGAAACAATTAGCAATAACATGCTTACAGAAGGAAACAGACTAAGACATATTTCCCGATATTTATGTACAAGAAAATGAAGGTGGATCTGACTTTTGCCCAAGAAGGACATGGAATAGACAATGTGAGGACATGATAAGAGCCTATGGGAAATCGTGGGGCCAGCTAGAAAATATTACAGCGAAATGAGAGTGAAGTGAAGATGCTCTGTCGAAGCCCCATGTTCCACTCCCAACTCAAGGCGATAAGGAAATAATAGCAATAGTGATAATAATGGATATCAAAGAGATGTGTCGACTAAATCCACAAGATTATCCCTTTTGACTTACTCTGGTTTCATCTGTGGGTGCCTGAAATCATGTAGATGAAATACTCAGTAATTCGTAGTCAATAAACACAAGAATGAAATGCACCCATGCCCACATTAGATCAACTATTTCAATGATAGCAGTATCGTTTTCTTTGATAGATGGTGATTTGCACTCTTCATCGTATAAGAATTACTCTAAATAGCTTTTAGTTTTATCTTTAACGAAAAGTGCATAAATTCCTGATTCCATATTAGACCCGTCAGTACCTCTCCTAATAAATGCTGACGCTTTATTTATCTTCTCCACTTTTATTCGCCATATTTCGAAATAAGGAACACTCAGTTAAAAATATTTCGTGATTCACAGGAATAGAAGTCAGAAATTTATCAGCACATGCATCGATGTTCCCGACACCATAACCTAATCACTCATCACATGAGAAGCTTCAACATACTGAAGACTGTCAGACACTAGTCATCATTTACCAATCACGAACTAATCTCATTTTCAGGAAACTTTCAAGTTTCTTGAGAAACAAATATTGTTAAGACAGCATCAAATAATGCAAAATAAATGAAGTCACACTCACGTTGGTTCCTGTGGATCCATTCTGTGGAAGACATTGGACATATGAATTGAAGGTAGTGGTGAATGACAAATATCTAGAGTAATGATAACAACTGAGAAGTACTTCATTCGACACAATCATGACTATTGATCAGAAGTATGACTAAACATATTCGAGTGTTTCAATCTCTTGTGATATTCACTTCGAGATTTCAATCGCGTTCTAAATGACTGCATTGTTTTCAGTCATTCCTTACATTAATTATTCGTTTAGTGAGCTTGCGATTTGGTGTCTACAAACGTCAAGGTATCTGATTTTGTTAGCACGGCAGTCTAATGAATAATGTTGGAAATTACGATCCTTTTTTCTGAGGACACTACTCGCTAATCGGATGAAAGGATAATTTCAATCATTATGTACATCAGATTATAAATTTTTAGACCACTGATCTTGGTGACCACAGTAGGATAGGGGAATTTCATTGGAAATTACCATCCATAGTGTTTATCAAGAAATCTGTAGAGTGCCTCTGGAGACTTACTCTGGGTTAGATGAAGTACTTCATAATTCGTTGTTAATAAAGGTTGGATAGAAACATATCATCCATTATATTAGAATATATGTAATTTGATTATGTTTCTGTACATTGGGTGATCTTTTATTCCATTTTGTCGACTATTAACCCAATTCAATAGTTTTCTACCAAGTCCCCAACCTGAGAGAATAGGGTGTATTTGGGACATTGCTGACAACCCTATCCGTGTTAGTCATTTAATTCTCTGTAGAGTCTTGAAATCACAACAACATTTCAAAGAAGAAAATTATTCTTGGCTGGAATCCGAGAGAGAGAGAGAGATAATTACGGGGACTGCTGAATGCCTTCAGAAAGCTAGTTGAACTGTGTCTTCTTTCAATGAAAGCGAAAATCAGCTGAGAAGACTGTTGAGTGTCAACATGTGCTATGCGATCACTCGAGTAGATCCAAAAGGGGGACAACAATTTAACTAAGTGTTTTCACATGACAGTAAGTCCGTAAAAAGGTTCTGTCAGCACACTAGTTATACTGACTAGCATTTTCACTCAGTGGATCAAACAGAATAATTCATTATGCGCGATGATGTCGTAGTGCTTAGTTGAGCTGCATGGTTTATGACTTTCAGCCAAATGGTCTTGTATACGACTCCCTTCTCACCTATCTTATTCAGGACGACAAGTCAGTGCAATTATTAAACACACAAAATCTGTCCTGAATAACAGAATTCTAAACATATAATCAGTAAACACAAGTTATCTTTCATCCTTCTACTATCGACCGTTTTCCCGTGGTATAAATTTATTATATACGCAATTATTACCAAGGTGAGTAGGAAACTTAAAGCTCTTCAGTTTTCCAATCAGTAAAGTAACTTCTTTTAAAGTGAAATTTAAACAACCCTTTGACTAGAATCGTCTCTAAGTATCACTTGACAAAATTATGAGTTTACAGTCAGTCATGATAGAATACTTTCAATACAGCAGTACATGAATAATACACATAGATACTCATCCTTGTTAATACTTCTTATAATACTTACTCTGGATCAATCATTCCATCGCTATAATTTCAACATAGTAAAGATGCAATGTGTATACTGAATAAAATTCGTCATTCATCATTGTTACCGATGAATAAAATGGGAAGAGATCTAAATCTTCAGAGAATGAATCGTGTTCCCCGGGATAATTTGTTTAATATCAAAGCTTTTAGTGTCCTCTTTAACAAAATCTGCAATGCTCACTTCAAAATAATTCGAAGGTTTCCACATTTTCACACATGAATTAACTACACTTCATGAAATCTCTGAATGTCTTCAGAGTTTATCCTTTCACTGTATTAGTTTAAACGTACTAGTGAACTTCGTCACAAAGAAACTATCTTTTCGGGAGTTTTGAATTGGTAAAACCTAGGTGAGATACATTTTGGGGTCGAATCAATTAGGCAGATGTTAGATGTTTATTGTATATTGAAGAATATAACTTCCAATAGCTTTTCTCTCATCCCCTTTGTTTCATACAAATTTGTTTTTGTTGGGTTTATAGTTAAGGCACAATTATTCATTACAAGGGCTAATTTCTCTTCTAGATATGCATGAAGAGTACATTAAACTTAGAAATTATCGAACAAGATGTTTTGCTGAAATATGGCATACACTTACAGCAACTCATCGAAATAGGAATGACTATCAAGGTTTCGATAGAAGAAATCACACAAAAAATAGTATCACATTACGAATGAAAACACTTATTTGTAACGGAATAATTGAAAAATCTCTTCTGAATGACCCAATTGCAATACTGATACCTATTTGGATGCTTCAACTAACTCTGTAATTATTTTACTCTTTACTTCCAGACTATATATATCTATATCATTGTCCTAACGTTTGCATATCACACGTTGACTTAATCCGTATTATTTATCTCTGCTCCAGCTTAATCTCTCATTTTAATTCTTCTCTTTGTGCTTGTGGAATGATACTGATAATGTGTTACTTCACGACTGCCATTTGGTTTGACTGAGTTAAAGTCATTCTGAACTTGGACTGTCTGAGGGGATTGCTTGGCGCGTGATTCTTGGAGACGGAGTTTTGATTTCACCTTGTTGGGGATATTCTTCTTGATTCTCCCCAGCAATTCTTGCAGTTGACTTTTGGTAAACTAATTTCGTTCTACCGCACTTGTTTTGTATTTTAGAATTAGTTCGATGTGTATAGCCGTCTGATGGCATTGTTGAGATAATTTACCGTTCTGATATACTATGACTGTTGGATAACATCGCAGATTTTGTTGTTGTAAATAACCGTCTTCTTTTTACTATCGTCGGGAGATTTTCGCATTGCGCGTAACTCAAGGAAATTCTAGTTGGCTATACAACAGAAAGCACAGGTTGTTGCTCTCTTGTGTCCAGAGCATAACACGTGGGGTTTTGTTCTTTACATCGTTTAACTTATATTGCTGTTACATCAAATGTATTTCTCCTCTTATAACTAACTGTATCGATTCACGTCGTGAAATCGACTGTGGCCATCAGATTAGCCCTATGTAGCATAATGTTTTAGCCCCAGGCGACTTCAAACAGGCACTACGAATGACTTAATGTTATTATTATTAGGCTTCTAATAAATATTTTTAAATATTCTCATCGTTAAAATTAAAACAACGCATATAAGTGAACAATATTCTTTTCACTTAAATCTTCTTCAAGCTTTAGTCTAATATACAAAGCTTTATATATACATATAATATATATATAGCCAAATCAGTGAATGTGTTTATCAAAACTAATGTATTAACTGTTTTGAACTTCAGTAGTAACGGTGATTATAATAGCCGCAAAAATTATGATAATAAGGACAATGGTAACAAAAGTGCAAGAAATTTATGTAGGTGCTGATAAGAATAACGAAGGTACTATGTTTATGTAAACAATTCAGTGAATAAATTTTGTCAAATCTTAAGAGTTACCTAATACTAAAAGTGAAGTAGATGGATAACCAGAGTTTAAATAAACATCATAGAAGTATGAGAGAAATGGAGAATAAGAAAGGGTGGGAAGTTTTAATTAGAATTTTCGTAGGCCAAGAGAGAAACAAAGTACTTTTGTATGTAAAGACTAGTATTGTTCTCTCACATTTTCAAGGTTTTTGCTGTGTGTAAAAAGGGAGGTTTGAATTCCCTTAGGAAGGTTCAACTGAATGTGATAGATAATCTTGAAGGCATTCTTTTTCTATCCATTTGGCGACCGCTATCAATCAAATGAGATAAAATAGAACTTCTTATGGATTCTATTTGTCTTTTCCTGAACCATGAAGGAAGGTGCCTAGTTGTCCCCCTTAAATTGCTTTCTCCCGACAGGAGCTAAAATTATAAGTGCACATAGAAGTGACACAACAGAGCAGCTTATCTTTCGCTTAAGCGATCATAATTGGTAGTCTAGAAACAAAAAGTAGCAGCAGGATAAGTCCTTTCATGGCTTTAGATAATCTCAGATGTAAGACTTGACTAGCCATGTCCCCATTTACCTGCGATTTCATGAACAGTTGTTTCTTTTTATCTGTGGTTGGTTTCGCTTTATTATACACAGCATTCATGTGTCTCTTTGCAAATCTACTAGAATAACCCTTTTGAACGAGTGTATTTTGGATGTATACTAATTCATTTTCCAGGCAGTCATCTGTACAGATCCGTCTTGCTCTATTCGTGACCGATCCGACCAATTTCATTTTGTATCGGATTGATATGAAACTGAAGAAATGTGTCTATACTGTCCTACAGACGTAGGTTTTCTATAGACATCTCTGCTGAATGAACCATCCTATCTTCTGTTCAACTGGATATCAAGGAAGTGTATGTGGTCTACTATCATGTTCTTCTCCACAAATAACGATAAGCGATAAATGTGCATCATTAAATTCCATTGACGTTTCGTTCTTGTTGGCTTCCTCATCAGGAATAATTAATGTATCATCATCGTAAGAAAAATAAGAATCCATTTTATCAGTTACTTGTTTCACTGAGCCAGTAGAATACACTCGTTTCGCGTATCACAAGCATTTCATGTATATGTAAATAAAACAAAATGTTATTTCATAATATCTTGACAGTCAACCAACTAATAATTACTACTTACTCATTAGACCTTGAGTTTCTGAAACATTTCGTAATATTTCAAGGATTATTCATTGAATTGCAACAGAATATTTGTAATGGTGATCATAGTCAAACGACAAAATGGGTTGTGTGTTCTTTACAAAAAATGCATGAATCTTATAAAGGAGTGTAGAATTAGTAAAATTAGAAGGCAAGTAAAAACAATACGCAACAAGGTGAGAATTTCGATAAGACGACATATCAAAAAATTATATCGTAGTCAAGGTGAATTTAAAAATTATCTTAGGCAAAGTTTGTCGAAATGTGACCTTCGAGACCGATCAGATTTAAGGGACTCTATGAAAGTTCATCCCATATTAAATCACGCAATCGGTGATCCCATCGCCAGGTATCTCCCTGTTACATGAGGTCATGAGGTGGACGTCGCAAGATCGTTCAAAATTATCACTAGGCAGAGGAGTTCAATTCTCCTCAAGTTTGCTGAAGCCATCTTCATCAAGCTCCTGAAACCTGATTTATGCGTTCAGAAAGAAGCAGTTATCAGTCTTTCTTTTCCTCTCCTTCATTTGATTACGTAATGCCGAAAGTTTCCATTGTGTATGATCATTATTGTTGAGAATAGTGTTTGATGCTATTAATATATATATGTACATATATTATTACTGTATGCATATATTGGTTGATTGATTTTTGTTTAAAAATGAACTCTGTGCAAGTATGTTGAAATTGTTTCTGTAGATATACTTAATAATGTCTTTGGTCCGTAGACAGCTGATGAGAAGCCAACGAAATAAATGACTTTGCTGACAACCCTATCCGTGTTAGTCATTTAATTCTCTGTAGAGTCTTGAAATCACAACAACATTTCAAAGAAGAAAATTATTCTTGGCTGGAATCCGAGAGAGAGAGAGAGATAATTACGGGGACTGCTGAATGCCTTCAGAAAGCTAGTTGAACTGTGTCTTCTTTCAATGAAAGCGAAAATTAGCTGAGAAGACTGCTGAGTGTCACCATGTGCTATACTATCACTCTAGTAGATCCCAAAAGGGGGACAACAATTTGAGCCTCGGTCCGAGGGTGATATGGAGGAGATCTTGTGATGAGGAGATAAAGGAGTCTAAGAGCAGTCTTGGTGCCAACTGAAGAGGACTATGGGGAACAGGATAAAATGGCGATGTGATACTATAGCCCTATTTCCCACTCAGAACTCAAGGAAAAACTAATAACTTATTCTACTTCCGATTAAATAATTCCATATTTCTACATTCTGATCATGTTATTACTGTGAATGGTGTCATTATAGGGATCTACGTAGTCTACTTTCACTCCTAACTCTCATATCTGCAAACAGGGGAGATGTACACAAGCTGTAATTTCATATGCCTCCACTTGTCATCTTCCATTATCGTTACACTATCACAAAGGTATACATACCTATTCTTAAACAGTAGTACTCTGTGTAATCCCATTTAAAGTCTTGACTAACCCGGTAATCTACGGGAAACAATATCTTCAAAGATACCTGTGAATTGAATTCGGTTATAACTACCTACTTACAGACACTTAGATAACCGCCTAATTTCTGTTACTATCTGATCAATAATTCAGGTACATCCTGTCTCCTCCGCCTGCTTCTCCTGCCAGTTTGTTGGTTTTAGCCTGTAAGTCTTTCAGTTTGTTTGACTTTAGACATAAATCATCCACGCATGAAATCCAGATCTTCTAGAGTCTTCTCAGTGTTAGTCCAATGTATTCCTGTCTTCTCACTCCCGATGCACAGTCTGACGCATAATCCAGTCCACCACAATTGAGAATATCATCGGTGATAATAGGCAGGCAGCCTTGTCTTTCCCCACTAAAATATTTATCACTTCAAACTATTCCCTTCAATTCTATAGTTTTCCGTCTTCACATTATCAATACTGACTACTTATATTTAGGTGCTACATATTAAACATATAATATCTCCTTTAGCCGGTAATCCACTACATTTACGCTTTTTGATTAACTAAATGTTTTCACATGACAGTAAGTCCGTAAAAAGGTTCTGTCAGCACACTAGTTATACTGACTAGCATTTTCACTCAGTGGATCAAACAGAATAATTCATTATGCTCGATGATGTCGTAGCGCTTAGTTGAGCTGCATGGTTTATGACTTTCAGCTAAATGGTCTTGTATACGACTCCCTTCTCACCTATCTTATTCAGGACGACAAGTCAGTGCAATTATTAAACACACAAAATCTGTCCTGAATAACAGAATTCTAAACATATAATCAGTAAACACAAGTTATCTTTCATCCTTCTACTATCGACCGTTTTCCCGTGGTATAAATTTATTATATACGCAATTATTACCAAGGTGAGTAGGAAACTTAAAGCTCTTCAGTTTTCCAATCAGTAAAGTAACTTCTTTTAAAGTGAAATTTAAACAACCCTTTGACTAGAATCGTCTCTAAGTATCACTTGACAAAATTATGAGTTTACAGTCAGTCATGATAGAATACTTTCAATACAGCAGTACATGAATAATACACATAGATACTCATCCTTGTTAATACTTCTTATAATACTTACTCTGGATCAATCATTCCATCGCTATAATTTCAACATAGTAAAGATGCAATGTGTATACTGAATAAAATTCGTCATTCATCATTGTTACCGATGAATAAAATGGGAAGAGATCTAAATCTTCAGAGAATGAATCGTGTTCCCCGGGATAATTTGTTTAATATCAAAGCTTTTAGTGTCCTCTTTAACAAAATCTGCAATGCTCACTTCAAAATAATTCGAAGGTTTCCACATTTTCACACATGAATTAACTACACTTCATGAAATCTCTGAATGTCTTCAGAGTTTATCCTTTCACTGTATTAGTTTAAACGTACTAGTGAACTTCGTCACAAAGAAACTATCTTTTCGGGAGTTTTGAATTGGTAAAACCTAGGTGAGATACATTTTGGGGTCGAATCAATTAGGCAGATGTTAGATGTTTATTGTATATTGAAGAATATAACTTCCAATAGCTTTTCTCTCATCCCCTTTGTTTCATACAAATTTGTTTTTGTTGGGTTTATAGTTAAGGCACAATTATTCATTACAAGGGCTAATTTCTCTTCTAGATATGCATGAAGAGTACATTAAACTTAGAAATTATCGAACAAGATGTTTTGCTGAAATATGGCATACACTTACAGCAACTCATCGAAATAGGAATGACTATCAAGGTTTCGATAGAAGAAATCACACAAAAAATAGTATCACATTACGAATGAAAACACTTATTTGTAACGGAATAATTGAAAAATCTCTTCTGAATGACCCAATTGCAATACTGATACCTATTTGGATGCTTCAACTAACTCTGTAATTATTTTACTCTTTACTTCCAGACTATATATATCTATATCATTGTCCTAACGTTTGCATATCACACGTTGACTTAATCCGTATTATTTATCTCTGCTCCAGCTTAATCTCTCATTTTAATGCTTCTCTTTGTGCTTGTGGAATGATACTGATAATGTGTTACTTCACGACTGCCATTTGGTTTGACTGAGTTAAAGTCATTCTGAACTTGGACTGTCTGAGGGGATTGCTTGGCGCGTGATTCTTGGAGACGGAGTTTTGATTTCACCTTGTTGGGGATATTCTTCTTGATTCTCCCCAGCAATTCTTGCAGTTGACTTTTGGTAAACTAATTTCGTTCTACCGCACTTGTTTTGTATTTTAGAATTAGTTCGATGTGTATAGCCGTCTGATGGCATTGTTGAGATAATTTACCGTTCTGATATACTATGACTGTTGGATAACATCGCAGATTTTGTTGTTGTAAATAACCGTCTTCTTTTTACTATCGTCGGGAGATTTTCGCATTGCGCGTAACTCAAGGAAATTCTAGTTGGCTATACAACAGAAAGCACAGGTTGTTGCTCTCTTGTGTCCAGAGCATAACACGTGGGGTTTTGTTCTTTACATCGTTTAACTTATATTGCTGTTACATCAAATGTATTTCTCCTCTTATAACTAACTGTATCGATTCACGTCGTGAAATCGACTGTGGCCATCAGATTAGCCCTATGTAGCATAATGTTTTAGCCCCAGGCGACTTCAAACAGGCACTACGAATGACTTAATGTTATTATTATTAGGCTTCTAATAAATATTTTTAAATATTCTCATCGTTAAAATTAAAACAACGCATATAAGTGGACAATATTCTTTTCACTTAAATCTTCTTCAAGCTTTAGTCTAATATACAAAGCTTTATATATACATATAATATATATAAAGCCAAATCAACGAATGTGTTTATCAAAGCTAATGTATTAACTGTTTTGAACTTCAGTAGTAACGGTGATTATAATAGCCGCAAAAATTATGATAATAAGGACAATGGTAACAAAAGTGCAAGAAATTTATGTAGGTGCTGATAAGAATAACGAAGGTACTATGTTTATGTAAACAATTCAGTGAATAAATTTTGTCAAATCTTAAGAGTTACCTAATACTAAAAGTGAAGTAGATGGATAACCAGAGTTTAAATAAACATCATAGAAGTATGAGAGAAATGGAGAATAAGAAAGGGTGGGAAGTTTTAATTAGAATTTTCGTAGGCCAAGAGAGAAACAAAGTACTTTTGTATGTAAAGACTAGTATTGTTCTCTCACATTTTCAAGGTTTTTGCTGTGTGTAAAAAGGGAGGTTTGAATTCCCTTAGGAAGATCCAACTGAATGTGACAGATAACCTTGAAGGCATTCTTTTTCTATCCATTTGGTGACCGTTACCAATCAAATGAAATAAAATAGAACTTCTTATGGATTTTATTTGGCTTTTCCTGAACCATGAAGGAAGGTGCTCGGTTATACGTTTATTGGGTTGCCTAGTTGCCCCCCTTAAATTGCTTTCTCCCGACAGGAGCTAAAATTATAAGTGCACATAGAAGTGACACAACAGAGCAGCTTATCTTTCGCTTAAGCGATCATAATTGGTAGTCTAGAAACAAAAAGTAGCAGCAGGATAAGTCCTTTCATGGCTTTAGATAATCTCAGATGTAAGACTTGACTAGCCATGTCCCCATTTACCTGCGATTTCATGAACAGTTGTTTCTTTTTATCTGTGGTTGGTTTCGCTTTATTATACACAGCATTCATGTGTCTCTTTGCAAATCTACTAGAATAACCCTTTTGAACGAGTGTATTTTGGATGTATACTAATTCATTTTCCAGGCAGTCATCTGTACAGATCCGTCTTGCTCTATTCGTGACCGATCCGACCAATTTCATTTTGTATCGGATTGATATGAAACTGAAGAAATGTGTCTATACTGTCCTACAGACGTAGGTTTTCTATAGACATCTCTGCTGAATGAACCATCCTATCTTCTGTTCAACTGGATATCAAGGAAGTGTATGTGGTCTACTATCATGTTCTTCTCCACAAATAACGATAAGCGATAAATGTGCATCATTAAATTCCATTGACGTTTCGTTCTTGTTGGCTTCCTCATCAGGAATAATTAATGTATCATCATCGTAAGAAAAATAAGAATCCATTTTATCAGTTACTTGTTTCACTGAGCCAGTAGAATACACTCGTTTCGCGTATCACAAGCATTTCATGTATATGTAAATAAAACAAAATGTTATTTCATAATATCTTGACAGTCAACCAACTAATAATTACTACTTACTCATTAGACCTTGAGTTTCTGAAACATTTCGTAATATTTCAAGGATTATTCATTGAATTGCAACAGAATATTTGTAATGGTGATCATAGTCAAACGACAAAATGGGTTGTGTGTTCTTTACAAAAAATGCATGAATCTTATAAAGGAGTGTAGAATTAGTAAAATTAGAAGGCAAGTAAAAACAATACGCAACAAGGTGAGAATTTCGATAAGACGACATATCAAAAAATTATATCGTAGTCAAGGTGAATTTAAAAATTATCTTAGGCAAAGTTTGTCGAAATGTGACCTTCGAGACCGATCAGATTTAAGGGACTCTATGAAAGTTCATCCCATATTAAATCACGCAATCGGTGATCCCATCGCCAGGTATCTCCCTGTTACATGAGGTCATGAGGTGGACGTCGCAAGATCGTTCAAAATTATCACTAGGCAGAGGAGTTCAATTCTCCTCAAGTTTGCTGAAGCCATCTTCATCAAGCTCCTGAAACCTGATTTATGCGTTCAGAAAGAAGCAGTTATCAGTCTTTCTTTTCCTCTCCTTCATTTGATTACGTAATGCCGAAAGTTTCCATTGTGTATGATCATTATTGTTGAGAATAGTGTTTGATGCTATTAATATATATATGTACATATATTATTACTGTATGCATATATTGGTTGATTGATTTTTGTTTAAAAATGAACTCTGTGCAAGTATGTTGAAATTGTTTCTGTAGATATACTTAACAATGTCTTTGGCCTGTAGGCAGCCGATGAGAAGGCAACGAAATAAATGATGGTACCATTTTATTCTGCAAAAACTTTACTTCTTGCTTTGTTCAAACTCACTAAGTGGAATAAATGTATAAATGTCAACCGTTAGGTAGGGTTACAGTATGGCTCAGAGTTACTGTAGGCGATGTGTTAAAGAACAGTAACAGAAGTATCAATCCTGGTAAGTCCAGTGGCCCTGATGAACTCCACCCACGTATATTAACAGCATTGGCTGAAAACATAGCCGAGCCATTGTCGGTAATCTGCAATATGTCTCTGGACCAGTCTAAATGTCCAAGAGACTGGAAAGATGCCATCATTAGTCCGGTCTTCAAAACCGGATCTAGAAATTTAGTTCAGAACTATCGTCCTGTTAGTTTGACCAGTATTGTTGTTAAACTACTAGAAAGAATAATTCGTGATGCTATCATTCAGTTCATTGAAGGAAACAAACTTTTCGCTGTGGAACAGCATGGTTTTAGAGCAGGTCATTCTTGCTTGACCAACCTTCTTTTGACCAGAGAAAGTTGGGCAAGCTCAGCTGATGCTAATATACCGGTGGATGCCATATTTATCGACCTTAGCAAGGCGTTTGACAGGGTTTCTCATTCAGGTCTTCTAGTAAAGTTAGGTAGTATGGGAATCAATAAAGTGGTTGCTGACTGGATTCAAGACATTCTAAAGGACAGAAGACAAAGAGTACGAGCTAACGGGGTTTTATCAACATGGGAATCGGTTAAGAGTGGCGTTCCTCAGGGTACAATTCTAGGCCCACTTCTTTTCCTGATTTATGTTAATGAGATTCCATCGGTAGTTAAGTCATACTGCTTACTGTTTGCTGATGACCTCAAGATATGGAGGGCTTTACAAGATGACAGTTATCAACTTGCTTTGCAGGAAGATTTAAACTTGTTAAGTGATTGGTGTAAGCAATGGGCCTTGGAGATTAACTTAAGCAAGAGTGTAGTTATGCATGTATCTCATAGTCACGTGCACAATTACTCAATGAATGGCATTACTCTCCCAGTGGTCACTGAGTACAAGGACTTGGGAGTGGTTGTGCAGCATGACTTGAAAACAGCAACAAACTGTAGAGCTGCAGCCACTAAGGGTTTTCGAATATTATTGGCCATACGCAAAGCTTTCGCGAATTTTGACGCTGAAATATTTCGTATATTATATCCGACTTATATCAGACCTCATTTGGAATATGGGATCCAGGCAGCGAGCCCGTGTTTCAAATACGAAATAGACTTATTAGAAAGGGTGCAAAGAGTAGGAACTAAGCTAATAAAGGGTTTCTCTACCCTCTCATATGAGGAGAGGTTAAGTCGATTGGGTTTATTTCCACTGTCATACAGACGACTTAGGGGTGACCTAATACTAGCATACCGTATCCTAAGAAGTGATTTTGGAGTAAATTTATCTAATTTATTTCTTCCTTCTAGCACCAACCAATTGCGAGGACATCACTTCAAGGTTCAAAAACCACGTCGAATCGTCTGCATCTGGAGATCCGTTTTTCGCATCGAATTGTGAACCATTGGAACTCCCTACCGGAACACGTCGTATCAGCGCCATCCATTGATTCATTCAAGGCGAGATTGGACCTCCTGTGTGTAACAAATCAAAAGGATTAACACAGGCATATAGCCTACAATCCTAAATAAATTGTAAACTGTAAACTGTATCAATGGATCCCAAAGTCTTTACTCCTACCTTGCCGAGATTTATTTTAAGTTTTGTTTACTCAGCCTGTATCTCCATCCCTTAATGCTTTGTCTGTTATTATTTTCACTCTGAATAATCTCTAGTACTGTCTCGCTTTTCACCCTTTATCTTTTTGGTGCAATGCAAAGTTTTGCAGTGTTTTCATTTCAACTTTCTCACACGATTGCATAATGCTTTAAACTGACTATTAAATCTATACACCTTTCTAAGATTTGTATGAACTATTTTTACATATCCCAAGTACTTGATATTTGTCGCTTGATATTTAACGTATTGCCTGAAAATACCCTTTCTGAAATCTTAGGTGTATAACTTTCCCTAACTAGAAGAAAGCAACGATTAAATAAACGAGTGTTTTAGAGAAAAAAATCGATTTGTACATGAAAGATGAACGAAAATCCATATAATCAATGTACTATCCCCAACATACCGATATATATCCTTTCCTGTTAATAAAGAACAAAGGACAGAATTTTAGCACTCATTTTTATGAACAAAATTACCTTGTGAAAGTACTAACAATCTCCATTTTCACCTGCTGTACTCAGCATAAAAAACAAACCATCTGTGTCGGGAACTTAGTGAGTAACGGAAAGCATTTCCAACGGGTCAACGCATACTGTTATCGGCATTCACCTTCGCGTTGTATTGAAAATCACATGGCTAGACAGAAAGGGTCAACAAGCGACAAGAAACTATGGGAACGAACCAGTCAAGAACCTGTTGTCCAAAAAAACATTCCGAAGAAAAAGGGAGATGGATCAGACACCCCCTACAAACGAGACATTTAAGTGATATCGCACACCAAACCATCAATCGAGTGGAACTTGAATGGGAAACGACGAGTTGGGTGACGGTGTGAAGGTGACGTGGAGAAGACAGTGTGAGGAGGAGATGAGTGTTAATGGATAATCATAGAGCCAGCTAAAGAGGATTGAAGATTAAAGAGTGAAATTGAAATGTGCTGTTGAAACTCTATATTCCACTTGGAACCCAAGGGAATAATAATAATAAGTTCCCTAATTCCATATTAGTTTGTTTATTAGGTATATCACACAGTGAAATAGTACTATTTACTGAGCTTATCATAAATTACCAACCAAGCCTGCTTTGTAACTTGACCCGTACACGACTAAATTTAAACAATGAACTCTGGTGGAGTTGTGTAACCTGAAATTATCAGGTGTTAAGGGAATTAAGTGAGCGATTAACTGGGTTACTATGGCAGATAGTCTTCTAGATCCCCTTTTAGACAGTAAGTTGTTTGTGTGTGTGTGGCCCGGCAGGATCCCCACGTCTAAATCCGTCCACTGAGCAGTCAGAAATAGATATTCAAAAGCAGACAGAAAGGCTACATATTTAAGTAATAAAGGGCTTACAGAAAAATTCAAGCCTATTTATTTCAATACTGCTACTACATTTGATGTTTTGAAATGCCGGTCATTCTAAGAATAGAGGATATTCAATCAAAAAATCTTCTTCTAGAACTTTTTTCTCTGAGTTTGATAAACCATGCCATATATAGGCATCAGTGAATAATATGAGAATCGAGAGTATTACAGGCTTCGAGTAAATTAAAAACAGCAGCTATGGGTTAACGCGCAAAGAACTAAACTTTACAACCTAAAAGTTAATCTCGTGTTGATTTCAAAACGATTGGACTGAACGAGTTCTACAGATGCTTTAAACTCATTAAACCCTATCATGCAATATACATATATATATCATTCATATGAACTATGATCAAGATTTGACCAGATAGTTGCAAAATAATTGAGCTCTGAGTGAGAAGTAGACATTTATAAAATTATATTTGTAAAATCTCAGCGAAATTGAAATGATTAATTCCAACGTTTCGTTCGGCAATCTGGTCCGAACTTCTTCAGGGAAATTAATCGAATTAAAATAAACAGGTTTATATATAAAAGGAACAACTCATGTTTTTTAAATTTTGTCCAATCATGAGTCGTGCAACAGTCATCAACATGTATAATAAATAAATAAATAAAATAGTATGTTTATATATAAATTACATCTCTTTTAAATTGTTTGTCCAGTCATATGAATCAATAAACAGCTATCAATAGGTATAGTAAACAAAACAAAACAAAATCTTTAATATGAACTGTGATCAAAATTTGACCTCAGACTTTCAAAATTAGTCTACTTTTGTTAAAATATATGTGTATATGTGTTATGCAGTACCAATGGTGTGTGTGTGTATATGTGTGTGGGTGAACAGTCATAAAACATTTATTATTCTCATAGGAGCTGTGATCAAGATTTGACCGGATGGTTACAAAATAATTGAGATTTTTTACAAATATAATATAATTTTATAGATTTGTTATTCTCTCCATAAAAAGACGTAGACAATCGGGAATTTGATCAAGTGTGACTAGTTGTTGAAACATATCGAATTTATTTATTAGTCAGGATTTGCCATGCATCAGCTAAGATCACACCTTCACGTCTGTTCAAACTGTTGGGATTCACCCATATATGTAGGGCTTCTGCAGTCAGTCTTTCTTTATATGAAAC